ACAGTTCACAAATAACAATTTTTAATTGCAATTCGGATACATCTATTTTTGGCAACAAGAGCACCATGTTCTGAGAATGGGTATTGAGGATGAAACAACCTGGTTTGAACTTGTTTAACAAAGGCATTGTAGGCGACATATAGATGTACGTTCTTTTAAACAACTTCTGTTATGTACCAGTTCACATAGCAGATTTTCAGTCTCTTTTTGGATGAAAATTTCTAGGAAGGTTATTACAAAACAAGATATTTTTACTCATTCAGTCATAGGCTTGTTTTGAAACTGATATACCAATTCACCGTGAAAACAGATTTTTTTTTGCGATTAAAAAATCACACGGTAATTTGAGAAGCTAATGGTGTACTCAGTAAGTTCTCTATTCATTATTTATTCAAATAATATTCATTCAAATCAATTCATTCAATTGATGTATACATCATGATGTTATTATAAACTATAGACCTATAAACCCTTATTATATGTAGATGTACAGTACACAACGTGTTGGACAAAGTAATACGCGCACAAATACATAAGCTACCATTAATAATTCAAAAAATTAAAATGATACATGACGATGAAAATCTGACCTTGTCTATCCTGCTCCAACTATATAGTGACAAAACTTAAAAATTTCGACAAAGGAAAGCATAGCATATATTTTTTGTTGTATTAATTCTGACTTGTTAAAGTGATTGTAAAAGGACTTCCTAAAATGTTATGTGTATCGGGAACATTCGGTTAAGATCCTTTATTTATTACACAACTAACAATAAGCGCATACTTTTCGTAAATTCCTTGTCTATATAGTGCCTTCTTTTTTAGGTCAGCCTTTTTGCAACTTTCTACAAAAAAAGATCTTTTGTAAAAACCAATCTTGTTACATGTATTACCAAATTACAAAATTTAATAAAAACTATGTTGTTTGGAACAATTTCATACCCTATACCTTCAATTTTTTTGTAATCATCAACTTTAAAGAATGCCACGTTGTTCTGTTTACACAGTGCATGAATACATGACCTTATTTGCTTAGTTAGTAACCTATGCTGCGAGTTCATATCGTTTTTATGAACCAGTGTAATTTACCGGAGAACAGAACTATTGTGTGATATAACCTCTTTTAACCCCTTTAATGTATACACATTTCTAACTATAGATGCCTTGCTTCAGGGACATTCATATCTAGGAACTCTATGAGTACAATATTTAAAGCATGTCTGGAACATATTGGCAGTAGATTATACTGTTAATAAACATCAGGCCCATTGAAAGAAACTACCAACTATGTTTCTTTCTGTCACGCATTTTTCTACTTATGGTACATTTCCATTTATTGCATCTGAACCAATAGTAGGCCTTTTAGAGGGTCAAGTCGACCTCCTTTATGGACAAATTTCAAATCCTTGCGATGAATTTTTATCTTCTGTATATATTATTGTATCATTTGATTAATATAACCAAGATATTTATATCCAGAGACAAACAATATCGTTAACCATTAAAACTCGTTTAAATAATAACAATGAAATCTTTTTTATCATTATCACCATTTCCTTATAGAATATAATTTATACCGAGAGTCGAAAGTAAAAAATCCCCCCCCCCCCCACCCACCTTCCTAAAGAGTGAAAGGCCAATAAGTAATAAGATAGATTCCGATAAATCCAATATCAACCCTCATCCTTTGCTATCATCAGCCCAACACTAATTTGTTTCAAAGAGATATGCTCAATTGGTTGCGCCTGGGTTTCACATTTTCTCCTTAATATTCTAAATAGCTGGTTGTGTTGGACCTTCGACCGCTTCTAGAATAATTATAGAGAAGTGTGAAGTAAAATGTGAAGTAGTCATCAGTCAATCAATGTTATCAACTAATAAAATGTTAGACTAGAATGAATGTAGGGTATTATTGTGTTAATCACTTGTTAAAATCAACATTTACATTGATTGATTCTGGTATTTAACACTTTATACCCTGATATTTTACACTACAATACTTTCTTTATATTGTCTGGCTTGTCAGACACAGCAAACTGTAGAATAGAAGTAAAAACTTAAAAGTTGTACAGGATATACAGCTTTCAATGTAACGATTCGTAAACTTTGCCACAATAGAATTCTGACATAAACAATACTTAAAACAACCATCGTAATGCTGAATGTTGCATATATTGTTAAGTGGATCCAGATATGTTGTTAATTACATATTATTTGGCCATAGTTTCCATAATTTGTTGAAGGCAGTAAATCATTTTCAATGACTTAGTCTGCTCCAAAAGTATACCAAGAAAATATGCCAATATCCTGTGTTAATGTCTAGACTAGAAATTATCTGTCTGTGAGAAGAACTATCTTATTACAAAATCTATTATACCACCAGCATAAATTCAACCAGACTATTAAGGTATTGGTGCTTCAAGTCAATATAAAGTCTATAAATTTTGTCTGGTTTGTGTATGATCACTACTGGACACGAAGAGGTTGGGATAAATGACAGAAAGTTACTGTCAGGATAAATTATTAGATATTTGCATTGACATATCTTTTGTAAAATCTAAACCCTTTACCTTTTATTGTTTCAGACAAGAGATTAATCAATAATGACCCACACCAGCTGTTTTGAGAGCACCATGCTAACAAATAAAATGTGAAAATTAAAATACTTTCAGGTGGTTAATAGTTGATGCTATGGCATGCATGAAATGTCTTTCCAGATACAGAAAACACCCTAAATGATTCAACAATGTAATCAACTGATTTCTCTTAAAAAATATTTATTTAAGGCTTTTTAACTCCAATGCTGCTTTTCATGTTTTCCTATATGTAATTTCTGCTATTCATTTTGAATGAGATTACACTTGTGAAAACAAGTTCTATATGTTTTCAATTTAAACTGATCTGTTTTAGGAAAAGTATTGTGTTTCCGGAAGTTAAAACGTGGCAATAAATGTGCAGGCATAATAAGAAAAATATCGTTTGAAGATGGAGAAGACTGCTGTGCCAAGAAGGGTTCTGGATTCGCGATACAAAAGGTAAATCAGTATTGATAAAAGATGGCATTACCCCTGGTCTGACATTTGTTGAACACTACTTTCAATTTTGTATTTCAAATTCCTCCGGCACAGGGATGTATCTAGCCTCGAGCACATACCGGGAAAAGATGAAGGGGAGATTCGGATACTATGTGATCGGGTCTTTTGTATAAAGACGATATATGAATTAGTTCAATGGGAAGAAGTCACTAGAGCACACACATCTGTTCGAGTTTATGAATATAATCGCTCATTGATCGTATAACCTCTTCCGTCCAAATATGTTTGAACTCCGGTACAGCTATTAGCTGGGATAAGTTAAGAGAATATAAGAATATATGTTTGCGACAGTTTTGATTGTTGGTCGGTAATTATCGAATGTAGAATAAATGGAATTGGAAATGTCAGCCTCATCACTTGAAGATGACATCAATTTAAAGTCGTTATCTTACATTTCACTCTAATTTAAATTGACGAGATAAAACCTGTTTTTTCAGCACCAAATCATCAGGAATCAATCGTTATCAGACAAAGAACAGACCAGGCACTTGGAGTATAGCACATATTGATCGAATCAGTGTACTTTGAGATAAGTTGTAATGCAAAATAATACAAAAGAAACCCTTTCAGATTTCGAGGACTTTAGATACTTTCGGTAATTAAGATATTAAGATATTAGTGGACATTCCAGTGAATAAAAAATATGGAAATTCTTAATCTTAAATTTTTTTCAGCAAAAAATTGGTAAAAACAGATTTAAATGCGTTCCTTGTTCTGATATAAATAAACATCCATTTGAAAGGCCTGAACCAAAGATTAAAGGTAAACCCGCGCCGATACGTTCGGAACCCATTAATGATGCAATCAAAATAAAAAATGAGCTGATCTAAAAGTTACTTAATGGTTGTCGCGTTGATTCTAACAGTTGGGTAGGTCTGATTTATTAAGATCTGTCGCAACAGATGACATAATCGAGCAGCCCAATTCTGTGTTATATGTAGTATAACAATGTATTCACCTTAGAACCCTGTACAATTGACGATTTAGTTATATTTCTTTTCAGATGACCTTAGTGAACAATATCAAAGAGCAGCATTACGACCAAAAGTTCAGTGGGGGACATGGAGTCCATGTAGTGCATCATGTGGTGCTGGTTGGAGATCACGATATAAAGTTTGTGATAATTGTGATAGAAATGATTATGAAAATGTACAATCAAGACCTTGCATGATTAATTTCTACTGCCCTGGTATGTTATGTTAACTTTTTCTCCTTGAGGTCTTTCCAGGATATAAACATGTAAATATTTATACAGAAATCAGTAAATAGATAGAACGTATGCAAATAGAAGTAAAACAAGGTCTTAAGGCCACATAAAAAAATCCCCTCAATAGCGTAGGTAGGCCTATAGCAATAATTCAGCGGACATTTAACGCGGAATAACAGTAATATAATAGGAAATACCACTAGTAGATCCATCAAGCGACCATAGAAGGAACTACAATACCCATCAGTATAAAAGTAGAAAACTCTTCTCAAACACAAATATTTGCTTGACACTTCTTCCAGAACTGTCTTTTTGAATTTTTGAGCGTACGATTCAGGGAAAAACAGGTTTTACATTCATAAAGACATTTTCGGAGCCACCTTTTAATAATATGCACCTAGGGATGCACAGGTTGGACTGGAAGGCACTGTATTTTAAGAGTTTCAAGCAATTTTACTAATCTACAAAAACAGTATATATGCAGTCTGTGGAATATATTTTCTTTAATTCATTGTTTGCATGCTTCTGGTGAGGAATAAAGCAGTATCAGAATGTGGGCTTAGGCGTTTTTGGGTCCTATAAATAAAAAATAAATAAATAAAAAAAAACCAAAAAAACCGTCCCTCCTCCCCTGATCACCAATTTTTTTGTTTTATGTGGTCTAACTGTATTTACTCTTTTATGTCTACGTTGCAGTTGATGGCAATTGGGGACCATGGTTTCCCTGGCACCCCTGTTCTTCATCATGTGGTGGTGGAACTAGGATCAGACAGAGGAAATGTAATTATCCACCGCCAGCTTATAATGGTAAAAACTGTGAGGGCTTGGCAGAAGAAGATGACGAATGCAATATTGACGACTGTCCAGGTAATAATTGTGTCTACTGAAATTCGATTATAAAGTCTATTTATAATTGTATGCAGTTATCGTATGTCATTAAATAATCCCCCCCCCCCCCCCATAAGATAAGATAAGACATTTTATTGTATATACGTACCATACAGGACAGCATACAATATACATACAATAAACATACACCATAATGATTTTATGTCTTGAATATGTGCAGTTGACGGTGGATGGAGTGAATGGACTGATTTTTCCCCATGTAGTGAATCGTGTGGTATTGGTATCATGAGAAAAAGCCGAAGATGCGACAATCCACCACCTGCAGGAGGAGGAAAACTGTGTGTAGGTCCAACAGTCACCACCAAAAGATGTGAACTAGTAAAATGTCCCCGTAAGTTTGTTTTACCTTCGAATGTTTCATGAATGTATTTGAAATAAAATTCTATACATCATGGACTCTTATGGTTGTTAACATTTCCTGCAGCTTTAAAGGGACATATTCGCCAACGGTTCAACCAATCGAGCATAGTCTCAGAAACGAGATTTTTTATAGCTAAGCTTTTCGACAATGGTTTAAAGCCAACCGTCGAAATATGATCCGTGAAATCAAAGTTTGTCCAGAATTATTCGCGTTTGAAAGTTGAAATAACGACTCGTCATCTTTTCTTGAGACTCTGCCATATTATAAGGGATAAGGTATATTAGAAGGGATTAGGTGATTTTCGTGCACTTCACATATTACATAATATCTAAGACCAAAACCAACTCCTGGAAATGGCAAACCATGGCCTTTAACTAATGGTAATTACATAGCGAATTTCAATAATTTTTTTAGAGGACGGTGGATTTTCACTGTGGTCGAATTGGGGTCAATGTGATGTAACGTGCGGAGGCGGATATAAAGCTAGAACAAGAGCATGTGATAGTCCACCACCACTGTATGGTGGTAAAGATTGTGAAGGAGAACGTGAAGAACTTAAAAGGTGTAATGCAGCGAGACCATGTCCAGGTACCAAATGCTAATTCAATTATATTAAAACAATATTGTTACATTAAGGTAATTGGTACTATCACGATATACTCTTACGTTTCACGATAAACAAAGGTAAGGTAACAAATAATCAATATTCATGAGAAAACTATGGTCTCCTCTTTGATTTCAGTGGACGGAGGATGGTCCAAATGGACGAATTTCGGATTCTGTCGAGCACCTAAATGTGGAAAAGGTTTCCAATTCAGATCAAGAAGCTGTGATCAACCAAGACCTCAGCATGGTGGTATACCCTGTGATGGATCTGCCTTTGAAAGAATTGAATGTTTCAATGATCAAAGATGTCCAAGTGAGTACAAAATAACCTAAAGCCTGTGATGAAGCTCTTGCTTCCGGTGAGATTTCAATATAATTTAGTATATCGATCAGCTAAGCATGCGTTATCAAAGCATATAATTTTACAATGGGAAATATAAATTGATTCGAGAATTCTCAATTGCAGTAAATGGTTCATGGTGCGACTGGGGAGAGTGGACTACTTGTTCCGGTTCGTGTGAAGCAAACGATTCAATTCAAACTAAAGAAAGAAACTGTGTTTGTCCAAAACCGAAATTCGGAGGGAAAGATTGTGAAGGTAAGCTTAATTAATAGATAATAAAATCACCCCTTGCATTAGTCAGCATCAACATCAACATTCCAAAACATGATGATGAATACGTGGTAGTTGATTCTGTATCATGGTACTCATTCAAAGAGTTGCATCTTGCTCCGACGCAATAGTGTTTGCTGAATAATTGCCACGAAATTAATATGAACCATGACGTTAAAAACTGGCACATAATATGTCTATACATGGAAATCTTTTTTACAGGTGAACACTTAAAAGTAAGAAAATGTGAGGATTGTGAAGCAACTGAAAAGGAAAATCTAGGTAAAAAGGATTCATTTAAGCTAAGCTTCTTTATTCTTGTTCTACGAACCATCTTCATAATGTCTAGATATTACGAACTGTGTCTACGAAGATAGTAATAGCTTGACAATGGGAAAAAGCATTATATGAAAAGGTGTACACAGTTTTGAAATTTGTAAGGTTGAATGCTTATTATTATCCAGCAGGTCCTACGGCAGTAATTCAGTTACAAGTTGCCAGTAAAACATGTAATGATGATGGAGAGGGTTCTGGACTGGGTGATGGAGAATGTGGTGATGGGGAGTCTGTAAGTAGTTCTTTGACAACTTTACTTTTTATGTTAATGTTTTAATTTTACAAGACTTCCAATGGACTTCAATTCATCAAAGAAATAGCTTTACCATGTCGAAGCTCTTATTGGACGTTCATGTAAATCTGGTCACTCGAAATTTTCTTTTTTGTTTTCCAGTCTGAGGAAGTCGACGATCAAGAACAAATGGAAATTGCAAAAGAAGTGGTTCGGTCAGAAATACCAGATTCTACAGAACGACCAGAATTCATTCCCTAAAAATATTTTCATTGTATTTTATACAAGCCTTCCATTTACATTGTATATACTATATTTATTCCACTAGCTAAAAATGTTTTTTGAATATTGTTTGTTGTAGAAAATCGAGAAACAAATAGGGCGTAACGTTCATTTCAATAAAAAAATAATTTTCAGTAGAACACAATATTCATTGATTCTTTCCAGTAATTGTTTCCTTTGAACTAGATATTACCTTATACTGTAACTGCATTATGTCTACTACTAATCTCATAGTCTTTGTTTTAAAACCATTTCATGCTGATAAACGGGAAGGGGTGGGGGTGAAACAGCAAGTGTTGAAAACAATAATGAAACGTTTTATTGATTAAAAGAAATTAGAAGGTATTATTTATACTATGAACATGATTAAAAGGTTTATTTTTGCTAAAACAGATGTATTCACACAGATTCATAATTTGATACATAATAATAACTTATAGTACCGTACTGAAATTATTGCCAGATCGGGATACCTAAAGACAACCACATTGCGAAATAAGTGCCAAAACCTTCGCTCCATACAAAGTATTTCTAAACCTGGGGAAGTTTTCAGAAATCATTGATCATACCGATTTTACAACATTCAATTCAAAATTTAAGTTAATTGGGTTTAAAAGCCAAACAAACTACAATTAACCGGCATCCCTTCTTAACTGACACATTTGAAAAATCCCGACCAAATCACTATTAAATCTTTAGAAGGAAACAGGAATCCCCTCTAAACTCTCAAAAACCCATCAAATCCGATTAATATGTTGACCATATTAAAGATAAAGACGTGCCTTGACAAATCATCATAAAGAAGATTAGTCACTAATCTAATAATTAAAAAAATAGCTGGCCAGGCAAGGTAATATACGCCCACTGGAAGCTTTGATTTTAAACAAAAATATTTAGCAGTACAGTAACAGAATAAAATATTCAACCTTCAGTCATACACTTCTGAACTTTTTGGTGCGATACTGAATAATAATACTATATTTTATAAAAATGCATCAAGAATCGAGCCTTTGAGTGTTTACGAGCTTAACATTGGACGCGTTTCCAAGGGCAATAACTCTTTTCGTTTTATGATAGGGTTCATCCTTAGTTGATTACAAATACTCACACCACGTTTCCTCAAAATGTCTTCCAGAATGTTTACGAGCTGAAAATTCAACGCATTTTCAAGAACAAGAGCAATAACTCAAAACTAAATATCTTTCGATTGTTTTGATTTTCAAACACTCACACCCATTTTCATCGAATTCCGAAAAGAACTGTGCATTCTACAGTGTTTACGAGATGCACTTGAAAGAGTTTTTCTAATTTGCAATTGGGTTCATCCTTGAGTTATTACAAACACTCAAACCAATTGCGCCTTCTAGAGGGTTTACGAACATTTCAAGGACGAGGGCAATAACTCCTACTAAATATTTGTTAATTTGTCTTATATACAATAGGGTTCATCCTTGGGTGATTACAAACACTCATACCAAGTTTCGTCAAAATCCGTAAAGAATTGTGCCTTCTAGAGTGTTTATGAGCGATTGTGGACGGACCGGCGGATATGGATGTTGCAAAAATAAGTCCTCATTTCATGTGGGCGTATAAAATCGATGTCCATTGTTTTAATGCTTGAACATTCCTGCATTGACATTTACTTAGGCTTTTGTAGCATAACTATTCAAGGCAGTGACAGTGACACCGGATTACCTCAACAGATAAAACTAGAAACTTGTTCATTAGATCTTAAATGTACTAATAACAATACGAAAATGTATCAAATAGGTTAATATTGTTGATTATAGAGCGTTTACAAGGAAATGTGAATATGGGTATAAGCAAACCATGATCTGAGATTAGACCGAAACATCTGCCACTAATCAGCCTGGTCGGCAGGTGCAGAGACAGAAAACTCTACTTCAAACGACAAAGAGGCAGATGTTTCGGACTAGATCTGAGATATGGGTATTTGTAAACTGTAAAATATTTTGATTTCATCAGCCATGGATTTGGCTGTTACTGAGGTGTCCAGCAAATGCTTTTCGATACAAAACATAAATACATCACAACTTTTTGGTCGTTTTATAAAGAAGAAGAAAGCTTGCCAGACAAGGTAATATCATGGTCAAAGTATTACGTCTCCATCGTATGTTAAACCTTGACTGCAATGGTCAATATTCTTGTCTCGCGGAAGTTTGTGAATGCAGTTATTCGATTGGATTGGACGCGAGTAGCTTACAACAGAAAGACTAAACAATAATCACGCACGAAATCGAGAGCTCTGATAGGCTGTATTCGCTGGCATACAATCTAATGAAATCGCCGACGTAATACCTTGATCATTGTGTTCACGAGGTTATATACGCCCACTGGCAGCTTTTGTTTTTAAAAAAGAATATTTGGCAGAACGGTAAAACCCACTCGTTTGAAATATTCAACCATTCGTGATAAACTTCTTTAAAAAAAAAAAATTCGGTTATCAATGATAAGTAGGTAATAATTTTGGCCAAAATTTTGTCCTTAACCCGTTAGCAAGCTAGAAATAATTTTTTATAAGGATAGTTAATCATTAAATATTTTTTGGAATTTATTCGTTACGAATTGTGGCCTTTAGGAAGTTAAATGTTGAACGCATTTTCGAGAACATGGGCAATGACTAACTTTAAATATTTGTAATTTTTTTCTATTTTCAATGGGGTAATAATAAAAAAAATTCAGAGCTTCTTCAAAATTCATATAGGATTGTGCCTTCAAGACTGTTTTAAAGCACTTGTGGACGGACGGACTGACCAACCGACTGTATATGAAGTCTATATGCTCCACATTACACGTGGGTGTAATGTGTATATAAATAAACTCAATCAATAGCGCTATTTAAAAAGAAAACAATAAACATAAAAAATGAACAATCTGAGGGTCCATAATTGAGTTGAGAATTTTCAATAAAATGGAAATGTTACATTGATAACTTAGATAGACAAGCTCTGACATGTGATAAGAGAAACAGGTTTGAAATATCACTGGTTATACAACAAAAATGGAATAAAAACATGACAAAATATAAAGATTAAAACATTAAAACTATCAAAAATGTGGTTAGTACACATACACACAACACATTCAAATTGTATCTAAGAATCAGTCTAATACAGATAAAAATTATTTTCTGCTTGAACTCAAGATATTCTTATCTGCAGTCCACAAACTTTTACAGAAAAAAAATCTACATTTCACATAATCCTGTGAGTAGATAGCACTACAGTGCAAAAGTCATCAATACGATTTTTTAAAACAGGACAAATAAAACACAATATATGTAAGCTTATGCTATTCTGTCTATTAATCTGCTTAACACTATATAATCTTACCAAATCAGAAAAGAAATGAATGATAGCTTGCCAGGCAAGGTAACATACGCCCACTATTAGCTGTCAGAAATGATAACAAAGTTTGTAGTGGTTTAATATGTGAAATCAATTACTAATTTCAAGCTTTACTAAGGTCTCATACAAAGTTTAATCAAGATCGGATAATGCAGTCTCTATATAACCCTGAAATCATTCATCAGATTATTACCAATTTCGAACTTGATTGAGGTCTTATCAATATTTGCAAGCATACTAAGTTTCATCAAGATCAGATAAAAATTGCAGCCTTAATCATACATACAAGCCAAATTTAACGCGTCTTAACTAAGTCAAGGGCAATAACTCTAAAACCGTTCAACCGATTATTACCAATTTTGAACTTGACCGATATCTCATAAATATATACAAGCATACCAAGTTTCATCAAGATCAGATAAAAACTGTAGCCTTTATGGTGCATACAAGCCAAATCTAACACATTTTTACTAAGTCCAGGGCAATTACTCTGAAAATGTTCATCAGATTATTACCAATTTCAAACTTGACCGAGATCTCATCAATATATACGTGCATACTAAGTTTCATCAAGATCAGATAAAAACTGTAGCCTTTATCATGCATACAAGCCAAATTCAACGCGTTTTTACAAAGTCAAGGGCAATAACTCTGACGGACGGACGGACAGGGGCGACAGCAATATACGTCCACATTTCCATGTGGGGGTATAAAAATAAATCAGGATATGATTATATGATTAAAACATGAATTCCTTGAAAAACACTTACATTAACTTAATAAATAATGCAACCCTAGAGTTGGAATGAATATACTTGTAAATACTCATTTAAAAGTATATATTGGTACCATCATTCTATCTGCTGCAAAATCGTTTATAAAATGGATCTAAACTTGAAATGATTAAACCATTATTCATCTGTTGCATATTATTCACAAAATCTGTAAAGAAATAATAATAATAATAGAGTTTCTTGTATTCAAAGACTACTGTCTTTTAAGCTGAACTCTTGAAAGCTGCATAAATTCCAAGGTAAGTTAATTTACAAAAACCATTGTAGCAAACCTGTTATGAGAACTGTATGTACAGATTTGGGATACAAGACACTTTGTATCTGTTTTAAACACACAGCCTTCTCCTCCACTAGTGACAGACTAGAAGTACATCTACATGTGTTGACCAGAACAATAAGTCCTCGCAGTTTATACTTCTCCACCAAAGAAAATCTCTGCATAGCTTCCACTGTTAATGCATCAAATATGCCATGATTGCTCCTAAAAACACAATTGATTCTTTTGTTTTAATTCACCTTTATAAGATAGCTTGCCAGGCAAGGTAATATAAATATAATATAAAAATATGAAAGAGCAAGGGCAATAACTTATACTAAATATTTTTCAATTCTTCTGATTTTCAATAGGGTTTATCCTTGGGTGATAACAAACATTCACACCAAGTTTCGTCAAAATCTGTAAAGAATTGTCCCTTCTAGAATGTTTACAAGCTAAAACTTGAACGAGTTTTCAAGAACAAGGGCAATAACTCATACTAAATATTTTCAGATTCTTCTGATTTTCAATAGGGTTCATCCTTGGGTGATTATGAACACTCATGCCAAGTTTCGTCAAAATCCATCAAGAATTGTGCCTTCTAGAGTGTTTACTAGCAAAAACTTGAACAAATTTTTAAGAACAAGGGCAATAACTTATACTAAATATTTTTCGATTCTTCTGATTTTCAATAGGGTTCATCCTTGGGTGATTACGAACACTCATATTAAGTTTTGTCAAAATCCGTCAAGAATTGTGTCTTGTACAGTGTTTACGAGCAATTGTGGACGTACCGACAGGGGTGGCGGCAATATACGCCCCCCATTTCATGTGGGCGTATAAAAAGTACATTAAGGTGATTAGGAATTCCTTAGATCACCAGTGACACCAATACAATTTCAGAATTGACCGACAATGACAAAAGAAATGACATGACAGAGCTGCTAAGTGAAGATGATAGTATTTATGTCCCTATCTGTAAGCCTAATTCAAGGAATTCAACTGTCATGTTAACAGGTAGTTTTTGCAATTCTATTCATACATAATTGCAAGGTAGCAATGAAAAATTACCTTTTCTCAATAATTGATATAACACTAGCATGAATAAACACTTTCCATCCTTGAACTGAATGTGATAACTGTAGAAACAAAGCTTCTAGTATTTCTGTAAATAAAATGAACAAAATTTCATAGCTTGAAAAAAGAAGAAACATAATCCATATTAAGACTTCAAGCGTTAAATCCCAGGTGATAATAAACGAACTCGCTAATTGTCCAAATCTGTCAAGAATTTTGCCTTCAAGAGTGTTTGATGTGAAATTTGAATACATTCAGGTGAAAAAGGGAATTCATAATAAATTTATATCTTATTTTTTTTTTCAATTTGGATATTAAAGTTCCCAAATTTTTGTTTAAATCTGTCAAGAATTGTTTCTTCTATAGTGTTATTGAGCAATACGAGAAGGACAGCAAGATATTAATTGGAGAGAATATAGCTTCCATAATTCAGGTGGGCAAAATTTTTTTTATCAAAACTTACCCAATGAACGATGAAGAATAAAATTATCTTCTAACATAATGACACAGTTTACAGATGAAAATGGTTTTGGGTATATTGGGCGATAATTTTCTTGAGAAGCAGACCTGGCAGGTGTAATGTTTCCAGTATCTCCATAGTTTGCAGAGGTGGATGCTTCATTGACAACATCGTTTAACTTATTATGGGTCTTTTCATTCAACTCACATAATTTCATTTTCATTGATTCTTTCAAGAATAAAGATTCAGAGTTTAAAGAAGGTATTGATGTTGTACTCTTCTTATGTAAATCCTGAGGAAGCAAAGGATCTTGTTCTCTTTTTTTCAGAACAGCTTCCATTGATAACTTTGGGGAATCCATGATGTTTTTTATGTAGATATGTTGATGTTGAGACATCATTGAATCTTGACTAACAAGATCCTCAACCATGGGCCTTTTAGGTTCCAGCATTTTAGGTGAGTAGTCAGGTGCCATGTGTTGAACTGAGTCTGACAGCATTGGATCCCTATCACTGACAAGTCGATGAGAATAATTGTAGAAATCAGGTGATGTTGGCGAGAGACTTCTTGAAGAGCTTGGTGTGGAGGCTAATGATGGTTGTGTAATGAAGTGACCATGTCGTGCTCCCTGTTGCATTAAAACCAAGTTTGGATTATGAAGAGATTCTCTTGGCAGAATCATAGCTGGATTTATGTGAATATTTCTGTGTGGAACTGGGGAAAAACTCTGCTGCCCATACATTTGATATTTGAACACAGGATTCACTTGCTGAAGCAGGTGATTATGATAATGAACTGGACCAAAATTAAAGTTGTAATTGCTGAAAATAGGTGTTTCATTTCTAATAAAAATACTATTATTAACATTTACCACATTTGGTGTTTCTAATTGAGGTTGTAGATTCACTGTTGGGTGTTGCAGTCTAAGATGAGGTTTTTCATGTCCAGATAAAGATATGTCACTGAGAGGACTTATCCTTTGTTGAATTGGACATGCAAAACTACCAGGAGAAAGAGTACCTAATTGATCCACCGGTTCAAATGGTAATATGTTTTCTCCATAATGAGAATCACTTTTTTTCTCTGAAAAGAGAGCTGGTAATTCTCCCAACTCATAATGTCTTTCAATAATATTCCCTTGTTCTTCTGTGATTAAGGAGCTTCTTTTAACAGTTTGAATTTCAGACAAATCTATGTTTGCTGAAAAGCAACTTGACTTAAGCTCTATCTTACTTTCACCATAATTAGATAGTTCATTGGGCAGAGAAATTAGGCCTACTACTTGATTTTCATCCTCAGCTATTTCTCTACACACACTGGCTTGAACCATTTCCTGATCTTTTACCATGGCTTTAATTTCATAGGGAATATATGTGTCACAAATGGACAAGTCTCTAAGATTATCAGATTCACTTCTGGTTTTGATATATTCTTTGTCACTTACAGTTTTTTGGTCAGATTCACTTAGAGACTGGGGAGGGCTTTTAGTTTCTCTTAGTTCACTAATGTCACTTGAATTTTGATTACCGGATATAAGAATGTCATTCATTTTGTCAGTAATCTTGCTTTTTTTCGCCAACAAGATATTTTCAATATTTCTAGATTTTTTACAAGGCAATTCTGCATCCACCTGATGTCTTTTTTTTACTTTCTTTTCGTGTTTTTCATTTCTTATCTCAGCTATTGAGTCAACCAGACTTAACTCTTTATTCTCCCAAGCATCCAAAATATGTCTTTTTCTTTTCATCTTTTTCCTTGATTGATGTTTTGTTTCTTTAACAAATATTATACTTTCATCACTACTGACTAATTCACCTTCTTCCTTGTCATCTCCACATGATCTTTCATTCTTTGTTTGGGAAGTGGTGATTTGAGAGTGATTATTAGTGTTTTCCTCATCATCTAATGACATTTTGTTTGATGTGACTGACTCACCTTTTAAAAATGCCAATTCACTAGCAATTATTGATGTCGTTGAATCCTGAATTATACTGGTATCTGGGGTTAGATTGGAACTTTCAGTTTTTGTATTAACGTTCACTGCATTTTTAGAATAGGTCTCAGCAGTTGAATGTTTATCTATGGAAGATAGAGTGTCATCCTTATTGGTAGATAAAAATAAATCTTTCCTTTGAGGAACCACTAATGGTGGTATTAATTTTCTATTATCATACAGTTTACCATGATCTGAAGAGGTGTCAATTTTCACTTCAGGTTCTTTCACAGTCTTCTGATCACACATATCGTTTGAAGGACTAGTTAACACATTAACTTTTTTCAAAGTTTTCTTGGAACTTGTGTCACTTTCAATAAAGCTAGATGTAAGACAGGTTTGTACAATCGTATTGTTAGCTGAAGCTTGATGTCTAACTGGTTTAAAAGCTGGTAAAACAATCTTCTCGCTCTTAGAAGTTGGCTCACTATTTGAATCAAAAGCATGCTTTAGCAGCTCTTCTCTCAAAGATTTATCTTTATTATTTGATGCATCATGTTGTTTGCTGATTTTTGAAATTTGATTATCATCATATACAGCTTTTCTCTTAGTTCCACAAGGAATCAATGTTTTGGACTTGTCATCAAATGAAAGAATTTTTTTACACTTTGGTTTAGGGTCTTGGGAATCATCTTCTATGTTGCATTGAACTATTGAGGTGGCCATTTTATCACAAGTTGTACTTAAAGGTTTTCTATTACTTTTCTTCTTCTCTGATGAAATCAAAGGCAAATTTTTTAATTCCTTCTTCAAAAGTCTAGATTGTTGTTGCTTGTCTGCTTCAGAATTTGGTTTTTGCAGTTCATTTTGAAAAGTTGGTTTCATTTTTTCTAATTGCTCTGAAGCTTGTAGTTGAACTTTAAGGGAGTCTCCTGAAACTGTCCTAGTGGGCTTCTTGGAATTTTGACATTTTTTCTCTAGGATGTCTCTGGACTTTGGTTTAAGGACCAGGCCTGTATTAGGACATAAATTCCTGGGAATACATCTTTTCTCCATTTCCATTCTAGGATCTTTAAAATAACGTTTGAACTCTATAGTAAAGTCTTTCAGTGCTGGATCAGCAATATGCTCTGAAATATTAAAGAATGAAGAGAACTTAGCAAAGAAATGGAAGCTTCAATTTGAAAAAAAACATAACTTACAGAAGAAAATATTCATTTATTTCAATTTCTTAATCTCTAACATCCTAGATTTGTTTCAAATTGAAAAAAAAGATACATATTTCTTTTGTTTTAGAAGGTAAGAATAAGCTACTTACTGATATGTAGATTGACAAAAGTTATTGACTCTACAGTAAACTGCCAATAATCTTTACATTTAGGATGCACACCAGAAATGTGTCTTACTTTCTTAACAGAAGCTAAAAAGAGAAAGGATACAAATTACCATAAGCAATGCTACCTTCGAATCAATAATAGTACTTTTTATGTGATATCATTATTAAAGCAAATAACAATTTCTTTCTGTAAAGTATTAAGCATATTAAGAATGAATTTCAGATTGATATTTCTTACTTGATGTTGGCGTTGGTTTCTTCACAGTAGTTGTTTTGTCAGATGTTGGTTGTATCTTGTCTGGGTTGGTATGTGTAGACAAATCAAAGATAATTGGGAAAGTCTTTGGTTTAGTTTTTATTAGTACACCTGCCTCCGTCTGAGACTCTTTTACATCATCTGCAATAGGACCTTGAATCTTCCTTGGGGAGGCTTTTCTAGGATCATGTAATTTTGGTCTGGATTGTCTAGCTTCAGAATCAGTATCTTCTGAACTGTTGACATTCCTTGAAAAACATGATTGTACCTTTCTTGGGGAAACCTTTCTTGGATCAGGTCTGCTGGTAATTTTTTTCCACATGTTCATCATAACTTCATGCATATCACTGGTATTGTGAGTTTTTGTTTGTGTTTCATTACTAATTGGATCAAAACATGGTGTCAACTCCAAATCAGATTTTGTGATTTCAGATTTATGGTTTGCAATATTACTTTGTAACTGTGCCACTTTCTTGGGTCCAGTTACAGTTATAGATTTATTTCTTGAGATCTCATCTTTCACTGGAGTATCAAACTCAAAACAGGATGTTTTCTTTTCATCTATTATTGGTGTGCTTGAATCTCTTAAAATGTTTCCATCCTTTTGATCAGCAATCTGTGTACTGGTATCACATAATGCAGTGTGTTTGGATCCAAATTGAAAGTTTGAAGGTTTACTAAAGCAGAGGAGCTCAGTATTGCCAGATCGACTGGGTAAAGCTGATTGAAACTGGGAAGTGGTAGTCTTTAAATTGTTGCTGATAGGTTTGATAACAATATCATGTGATATGGCAGACAACACAGGCTTTGGAACGATTTGATCCATTTGCTCGAACTTCTCATGGAATGGGACTGGTTTTTGTCTTACTCCAGAGTCATAAGAAATAGTCTGCATCTGAAAATCTTTTGGATAACCTTTCAAATGTGAAGATTTTAGGTCACAATTCAGAAGATTTCTCATCGATTCCAAATCATCTATTATTTCAGTTCTTATTGATAGGTCAGGGGATTTCCTCTTCTCCAATAATGGAATGTGGATGGGTTCATCAATATTAGCTGAGTCTTTAATAACTTTAATCCTGCTATTCATCTCAGTATTTGTTTCAGTTACTAAATTTGGAGAGGATTTTATATTTATGTTACTGGTTGATTTTTCATTCTCATTCTTATCAATAGAACAAGCAGACTTAAATATAGTCTTAGACACTTTGGAAAGTAAATCTTGATCAACTTTAAAAAAGGTTGCCAATTTTGGAAAATTCTGATCAAGAGAAAAGTTGGTGGATCTATCACATATGTCTGAAGTTTTCTTGTTGACATCTCCTTCTGGTTTTTCAATGATGGTAATAGAAGGTTGAGGCATATCGGTACACAATGGAACCTGAATCAGATTTTGGTTCATCACAGAATCTTGTTTTGGAAGGATTTCAGATTGAATATGAGGAACGGTTTCAAGAGCATGTCCAATTTGAACTGATATTTTCTTGGCTTCCAAATTTTTAGGTGAATTTGTCTTCTTAATGTCAAACTTAATTGTAGAACTCATCAATGCTGAAGCGTCAGACTTACATCTTTCAGAAACTCCTTCTGTATTAGTGAAGATTAATTTGCTGTTTGATTCATGGTTGGTACAACTAGGTTCTGCAGTCTTCAATACTTTTGAAAGAGAAACAGATTCTTTAACTGTATTTAAATCAAATTTATTAGGAGACAAATGAACCAAAGACACATTCTCTGCTTTATGAGCATTTGATTGTAATTCTGAATAGTTAGGTGAGACTATACTGTCCAGGTTGGAGTTGTTGTTAGTTAGGTTTAATGTTATCTTAGGTTGCATGCATCTCTCGCTAGGCCTAGAGTCCAATTTCAAACCATCATCACATGTGTCTGACGTTACAGCCATTCCTGGTATTGCATCAGCTATGGCTGCACCTATAACAGATGCACTTTCAGACTGAGTAACAAATTCATTTTCTGATTCCAAATCCATCATGTCATTAGTGACATCTTGTTCTATTGAATATTTTGGCAATGATTCAACACTATTGGTTGGACTGGCCATAATTTCAATATCTGCTGTGCTCTCTTCCTTCAAAATCTGATCCGTAATAGCAGATTGATGCATTCTGATATAATCTTCCTCTTCTTCACAATGACCCTAGACGACAAACAGTTCAGTATTATAAACTTCACACAAATCATTCATCAAAATTAGGATGATCTAGGATCTAAATTAAAGAATGTTATGTCCGTATTTTTCAATAGAAAACTTGCATTTCAAATTCAGAACTTTGTGAAACAGACCTTAACTACAAGAGGAGTATCAACTGCAGCAAAAAACAATACATGGATCTTACTGAATATAGTCTCAATTCTTCTTCAAACATGAAATCAACTTTGTGATGAAGTAGTTTGTCTTCCTCATCTAGTGGCTGATCTACCAAATCAGCTTGCTTCTTTCTCTCTTCATAATCAATGAAATCATCAGCATCATAATCACATCTGTAAAATTATTTAAGATTTTAAGGATACGAGGATCAAATTCCAAATCATTCAGTGTAGGAAAGATATGATGGAATCTATATTTTGAACCAAAGTTGATTTGGATTGCAATCTGAAACATCAGCAGTCAGATGGATTGTCACCTGTTGTAAATGTTGTTTGATTATTCTCAGCTACTGAAATGGTGCAGGCTTACTGTCTGTCTTACTAATGTATTAACATTGTTTTAAAGCAATACCATACTTACTCAACTTCTTCATCATCAGCTGGTACCTCAGATCTTTCAAACACATAATTAGAAAAACGTCTTTCGTGACGTCTATTAAATCTGTCTCTTTTAGCACCACCAGGGTTCATAGGTCGATTGTATGAGCGGTATGAATAAGTAGTTAAATCTTGCATGAGGGCCTTTAGATCACTAAAAATTCAGAGAAAGGTCACTTATAAAGGCCGCTCTATATCTTAAGATAAAATCCATATTCATGAGGCTGAAGAATTTGCTGAACTCTTTCACTGATTTCTCTAAAGGAAGAATTTAGTTAAGCTATATTAACATAATTTTCAATGAACTGAGTGTGCAATCTAACAATGAAACAGTTAAATGTTACTTGATCATATTATATCAGTTTATATTACATTGCATCAGTATTTTGGGGAGTGATCTTTATTTTGCTTTTCAGTTAATGTGCATATTCTTCTACATACCTTACTGGTAGATCAAATGAAGCCCATTGTTTTTTCTTTGGAATGTGGGGAGCAGTGTATGGATGGAATTGGCGATTTTTTTTATTATCTTTAGCTGTGCCTGACTTTGAGGTAAGTTCTGTAGCCTAATGGAAAATGAAGTTGAATATTTACTACTTATAGCTCTTTGGACTTGTAAGGCAGCATTGAAAATTTGTGAGTCCTGGGATGATAAATCATTTTAGGTTAGCAATATTCATTCAGAAACCTGCAACTGGCACATTAGGGTCTTATTTGTTTTTTTTAATGCTTAATCCATGTAAGCCCCTCTGATTAAATTCATCAGAAACATTTACCAATCAAATAGATGGATTCAATAGAGTTAATTTTCCTGAATTGTCAAGATTAGATTACATGTTGATTTCCAAGACAAATTCATCAAGAAATAGCAATTGCTTACCTGACCATTCTTGTCTTTTACATTGGGAAACTCTGTAGCTGATATCAACATAAACTTCTCCACAATACTATCACTGCCCTTTAATTGTTCAGCTAGGTTTTGTTCCACCCTTTTACCAATATTGTTCACATTTTCCACTTTAGACATCTTCTTGAATTCAACTTTCTTTACGGATGGTTTTCTTAACTCTAGCCCTGCTTGCTTCAAGGCAGACGTTAGCAATTTAGTTTTTGGTATCTTATCTTTAGGCTGTTTGTCCTGTTTTAAGTTTTCAGTAGATGCTTTTTCCACAGATGATGATACATTGAGCTTTGACTTGTCTTCTTTTGATTTTTTACCTTTCTTCTTTGGAATGGTAAAATTGGTAAGAAGTGCTGTTCCTTTAATTTCTTCGATAGTTTTTTGATCATTTATTGGCCCAACATTTGATGATTTGGAAGGAGAAATAATCAACTGTGTTCCCTTTTCGCTCTTGGTCTGTTCTATATAATTCAAAAATGATTTCGTGAATAAGATACAATAATGTTCAGTCTATTGACACTTGTTATAATGTTAATTAAGGCTAATTTAAGATGGAAATTACTACTTACATTGTATGATTTCTTTGTTTGTAAAAGAACTGGATTTCAGATTTAATAATAACCAATAAAATACTAATAAACTCTTTACCAAAACTTAAAATAAATATTCAGTCACCTACTTTTTTTGAAATCATGAACTCCATATAAAATTAATACCGTACTTACTTTTGGAATGCTTAGATTTTCTATGATCAGATTTGTTAGTAACAATATCATCTGATCTGGATCTTCTGTGAGAATCTTTCTTTAATTTCTTATTCAGATCAACTGATTCCAATTGCTTTACTGCGCTGGATTTTGATTTCTTGTGTTTTGATTTATGAGGGGCTGTTTCTTTAAAAGTTTTCTCTAACACTGTATCTGATTTGGTTTTGGAATGTTTCTTAGACTTTTTGTGATGATGATGATGATGTTTACCCAATGATGTTTGTTCAGGACTGGATTTCTCAGATGAATGTTTGACATCTTTAGAGCTTTTTCTATCATGTTTAGACAAATCAGTGCGTGAGGTACCAATGTCAAAAGCTGACAGCTCTTTATTCTTGGACTTAATGTGAGAGTGTCTAGATCTGTGAGTAGATTTTGAGCAGTTACTCTCAGATTGGTGAGAAATATTAGAAGAGATACTGCTGTCACTATCATCCCCACAAACAGTTTCTAATTTGGACAAGAAATTCTGGTCATCATTATCAAATTTTTTAGACAGTTTCAACTTATTTGAAGATTTTGCCAATTTAATTTTTCTGATACTTTCACTAAATAGCTCATTAAATGGTTTAATGTCAATAAATTTTGATGGAAAGAGTTTTTTAACATTAAAAGGAGAGTTTGGACTGTCACAGCGTGTTAGATTCACAACAGGCTGAGATAATTTTACATCATGTTTAGTCTCATCTAGAGATTTGTTCATGAAAGTGTATATATTTCTATCTTTGGAGTTTCTTGCTCTTTCAGCTAATGACACGGTTTTCTCATCTTTTCTGATCTGATCTTCACAAATTTCAGCAGATTCAGTTTTACCAAGATCGTAAATTTCTGTTTCATCTGAGCTATAAACTTCATCAACTACCTGATAGTCAGAATTATCCATAAAATTCTGAAAATCTGATAAAGCACTACTTTCTGTGTTGTCTACATCACTCTCTATACTACATGCCTGAGGATTGACCACTGTTATGTCATTTTTCACTTTTGAGTCTTCATAGTTTAAAGATGAATCAGTGTCTACAATCTGAGCTTGTGTAACCTTTAGTTTAGTTAAGGGTACATATTGATTTAGTAATATTTCCTTTTGAGCAGCATTTGAATTATGGAAGTCTATTTTTGTAATATTTTGCTGAGAAGCTTCAGCAAATGCTGAACTTTTAATTTTTTTGGGATGTTTCGGATTTACAGGCAATTTTGAAGTACATTTATCTTCATTCAGACAAATTTCATCTACATTAGAAGAAGGCCGAAGAGATTCATTTCTACCAGTAGCTTTAGTAACACGTCTGTCAAGCTTTGACTCTTGTTCCGAAGTCAAGTCTTCTTCAAGAGAGAATGATGACACTGAATCTGATGGTAGATTCAAATCATCATCCAAGAAACCAGTTGATGTTGAATCCAAAATATCCAACACAAATTCAGAATTTTTAGAGGGAGGACAATTATTTGTTAATTCATGTACACCTTTGCTGATTGATGTATCAAAAGAAACCTCTTCATCAGAGCTGTATCTTGGTATAAATTTGTCTGGAATCGCATGTATGAGGTTTAGATCTTCTTCTGGGATGCTAATTTTTAAAGGCTTTGCAACGTCTTGGCTAGAATTGAGATCCTCTCCAGAAGTTGAGTCTGTGTTTTGGCTAATTGATCCTGGGTTTGAAGCGTTTTTGCAAACATTCAAAATTTCTGATGATGAAAAAAAGTTTATATCTGGAGATACTCTTTGACTTTCAAGAATATCATGTGTGATTCTTGTGTTACTATCACATTTGGATTGTGCATTATCAACAGATTTTATTCCATTTGATTTTTCCAGAACCGACATTGGACATATCACATTTTTATTTGTAATACTAGATGGCACAATGGACAGGGTTGGCATTTCAGGACTAACGGTAAGCCTTACTTGTGACTGAAGAGATGTTTCCATTTTATTTTGAATGTCAGCCATGCAAAGTTTAACTTCTGCATCCTCTGGTGATTCCATGTGTCTACAGTCTGAATTCTGAGAATCTTCATGTGAATTAATACAATGCCTATTGCTTGATCCAATATTCTTATAAATTTGGTCCAATTTTAGAAACTTTTTTGGTGATGCTGCAGTCTGATATGCATATTCATGTATAGGTTGTTTCATTTGGAGCTTGTCATTAGCATATGTGTCAGTATGAAGAGACATGAGGTCTCCAACGGAAGTGTACACATTTATGCCCTCAGCAGAATCTGTTGGGTCAGTATTATGGTTGTAAGGTGGTAATGGTAAACAATTGGAATTAAAGTCTAACTGGTAAGCATCATAATCTACATCTACATCTGAGCCATCACTTTGGGAACATCTTTCTGACACTTGGTTGGCAATTTCAAATAAGCAGTCATCTTCAGATGTATCTTCCCTTACTTTGGGATTATCCACATCACCAAAGCTACAATTAGCCATCTTTCTTTCAACAACTGTTTCTCTGGTTCCTTTTTTATCTTCATAGCTTATATCTCCTTTAGGACAACCTTCTCCATCAACATTTGTATCATTTGATTTGGTGATTGCAACTGTATTAGATGATGTAGACTGAGATACATGGTTGTTACAAGGAATTGATGATGAGTTATTTTTTAGACTAACTTTACTATTTGTGTCAATATTTTCTACCAATGGGACTGAAATTATAAATTGTATGCATGTATTATTTCGTATCGAAATAGACCTTTTAACACTGTTTATTTCTCAAACAAAGTGATAATGATGAAATGAATGTTTTGTGAAATGAAACCTTTTCCATGACAGCGATTTTTAAGTCATTTCATTTTGCAACGGACCAGCAACTGTCGTACTTTATTGAAATTGGAACTGAAGAATGAATGAGTAAACAAGTTTAGAACTACAATTAATATGAACAATGATTAACATAAACATATTATTGGTGTAAACAGTATTAAACAAGTAAGATTAGCTGAAAAGTTAACATAATAACACAAATGAAGATTAGTTTTTAACAAAAATCAAGGAATACCTTTTTCTTTCTTTGACACATCACTAAACAACACAGTACAAAACATATTAAGCTACATTGATGAATGAATAAATTTGTTATAAAAACACAAAAATAAGATATAAACACACATGTGTATACTGATAGCATGAGAATAGTTAACAGAATGATGAAAATGACCAAAGATATAGCAACTAACATTATTCACATGAATAGCAAGAATCAGTTGACAGGAAATGTTAAAGATAGTGGACCACAGCCATATACGCCCACCATGGCATGCGGATGGTAAATATTCGAGATTTTGGAGCAAGGGCAATAACTCTGCTTCTAACGGTCGAAAATAGCTCAAATTCAAACTTGATCTTCGTTTTATGAATATGTACACACATACAGAATTTCATTTAATTTCATCAAAAAATCTAGTTTTTAGAGCATTTACAAGCAAATGTTGACCGACGGACGGACGGATGGACGGACAGGGGTGCCGACAATATACGTACACGTAAGGGGTGATGGGCATATAAAAAGTGTAATTAAGTGTCAAGTGTTTACCTTATAGCATACTTATTTTGTTTTCTGATAACTGTATTATTCAGGAAGTTTGTCTTATCAGTAACTGTAGTAATACCACTAACTGTAAGATCCATACTGGGACTGTCTAGATCTGTACCAACACTTTCAAGGTCGGTGGAGTTGTCTTCACTACTAACACCACTGTATATTTTGGGGAAATTCAGCTTTGCGCTTGCGACTTCAGGTGAGAGATGTTCATAGAAGCATGGATCACCTAAATTTGGAATGTAGGAAATGTTATCACAGGAATCGAGTTTTATTTTAGAAATATCTGGTTTGCTTTCTTCAAATTCTAACTTGGTTTTACAGGATATGTTAGGATTTTGTGTTGTATACTGGTTACCATTATCAACAATTTCTGAAATGCTTCTGTTAGTCTTGTAGAGAACATATGGAACTATTTTAGTCACATCATCACCTTCATGTGGATAAGAGTTTTCAATTTGTAAGCTTTCGGCTATTTCGAATAATTCTAAAGAAAACTGACAGTTAAAGGTATGAATAACCTTGTCCAATTTCAGTTTTTCAGCATTACTTATTGGTTTAGTAAAATCATCATAAGTCTTTGATCTATGCCATTGAGTGAACACTAGTGACTTTGAATATGGAGATACTTTTATTGGTGGAGTGTTCTGAATAGATGAATTGACTAAAGGTCCAGGATTAAATAGTGCATGATTAATTATCTGAGGTGAGATGTTATTATCATTTTGGTTGGTCAAGTTCAAACATCCTAAATAATTTTTCACTGGAGTTCCAATCCCAGTTTGATAAATTGGGGTAAAATTTGGATCACACTTGTCCATTGATGATTTATTAGTAAGTATTGTTTGTTGCTGACTTGGAAAGTAATTTTCTACTTCTGGAACTTTCCCTGCTGTTTTAAACATGCAATAAAAGTATTCTGTAAATACAAAACAGTTATAAGCAGAGTCAAGCAAATGTTTGAAAAATTGTTTCCTAATTTCCACACTATTCTTTATCATTTCATGAATTACAAATCGTGTACATTGTTGCTTAATGAACAACATTGAAGAGAATGTCATAGCTAATTATTTAATATAAAAACATATCTGGCTTGTTACCTAGAATTCATTTTTGGTACACATATTTGTAGTTTACCAAAAATGAATTCCAGGTAACAAGCCAGATCTGTTTTTACATTAAATAATTAGCCATGACATTCTCTTCAATGTTATTCATAGTATTTAAAATAAAGGCTGCTTCAATTACCCATGTTAGAAACCAACAGTGTATATAGCAATAACAGATAACAATACATAGTGGTCAAAAACTTTGAACACGTGCTATAAATCAATTTTTCAGTGTATGTGAAAATTGTTAAGAAAGTTTATATATATCAAAGAAGCAAGTATGAAAATAAACTTACGAGGAGAGTTTAAATAAGCAGATTGTTTAGAGAGAAATAAACAGTATAACCTTCCATATTTATCACATTCTCTACTGGATAATCCTACAATATAGACACTGAAGTCAAGTGCAGCTTTGATTTTGAACAAAAATATCTGGCAGTATAGTAACAATTACCAGTATGAAACCTTCAGTCATACACACTTGAACTTTTTGAGGCAATACTGATTAATATTAATGTTTTGTCAACATCTGTCAAGAATTGGGCCTTCTAGATTGTTTACACGCTAAAACTTTAACGCGTATTTAAGAACAAGGGCAATAACTCATACTAATTATTTTCTTATTTTTTTATTTTCAATAAGGTTCTTCCATGGGTGATAACAAACTCTCCCACTAAGTTTTGTCAAAATCTGTCAGGAATTGTGCCTTCTGGAGTGTTTCTGGACCGACAGACGAAGGACTGATGGATGGTGACGACAATATTTCATGAGGGCGTAAAGAGCCTTAAAATCAAAACTCTATCAATAGGAAAAACAAATAATTTGGCAACTTTATCCAGTAAATTTTCTAAACATAAAGAAAACATAGCCTATAAATGCTTTTATGGAATTGCAAACCAACCTAACTTAGCTGTCAAAGAACAAGATGGTATCAGGAATAAGACTGTATTGGAATCAGGTTTCACTATAGCTAGCTGAAGTATAAGCATAAAATGAAAATGGCTAAATATGGTTTTAAAAATAATCAACATATACACATCATACAAAATGAAAGATAAAATGTCAATATACTATCTATAGTAAGTCAGACATTCCTGCAGCTTTGTAAAGTTTTTAGTCAAACAATTTAATTTATCTGTATTCGATTGCAATACCAACATTTACATGCAGTTACAATTCAGCTGGAGTGCTGACCAGTCTTATTTTTCAAACATTTAACGAACAAAATCAACACATTTCTCTGCTCTGGCATCTCACTTTGATGCAGGGATGTTCACTCTGGTAAGAACACTTGATGCTAAACAAGTGCTATTGGATTTGTCGATTCCATCAAGTAGCTAGTCACATTAGCTTGAAGTTTGTGCTTATTTTATAATACTTACACAGTTCTTTTCCAATAGATATTTAGTTATCTTCTGAAAATGGTCTACACTCCCTGGTTTCGGTTTCAATTCTGTTACATTTATATATCTTCTTCTCCAAAACGTTTCTTGACATTTATTCAACTGATTTAAATTATTAAAATATTTCTCTTCAGCGTGTACAATTTCTGATCTATTACAGATATTAATATTGCTTCCCCTGTAAAATACATTTATTAATCGTAATATTCATACATATCTAGAACAAATTGGAACGTAACTTTATACTTTTCTACTTATTTTGTTTAATTTTTTGCTATTTGAATATATATCTATAGGTTACAATTTTTTAAAAATTATGTATACACTGTTATACATTTTTGAAGTAATAGGGCAAACAACCTATTTTATTCTAAATCAATTAAAAAAAAAATTCTTTACAGATTAATTAATTACAGAAAATAGCAGATTTAAATTTTGTGATAAAAATAAGCTTTATGATCTGTCCTCTTCATTAATTGTATAGCCTTGAGGTTATATTTTTTAACGGAGACTTAATTACATATCTATTTCTCACATTTACTTACAATCTAACTGGTTTAAAATATCCTGCAGAAGACATCATAGTAACATTACAGGCATATGAGCCTTTTAAACTTAATTTTCCATTCCATACTATATACTCTTCTTTAGCACTACTTATTTTACTGCAGACAGTCAATGGAGACCTATGACCGAATTTCTTTCTGCAAAAAAAATGAATAATGAATATATTGAAAGTCTTATAATTTTTGCTATTCACAGAAAAGGAATAAAGGAACATGATAACCTAAGAATTGTGTTGTCACTGTAACTGTCAAAAAAAATGTTGTCATAACATCTACAGATCATGTTTAAACATGTAAATTACATATTAGAATCACAATAACTGCCACTGGGACCGAAAATAACCTGTTGATGAAGATTTTATCTTTTGTTAGGAAATAAAGTTAATTTCAAATTAACAAGTCTGGTTACATACCCTGATGGACAGTTGAGTGTGTTATTAGAATGTATTGATTTATAGATAACATCTAGGACAGCATAAGGTATTATTTGTCTAGGATATTCGACTATTCTTCCTTCTTCATCATAGTCATATAAATAGATCTAGAAACAAAATAAATTTGATTCTCCTTAATATACTACAGAAAGATGTTTTTGTTTCGAAAAAGAAAACACTTTTCACTATAAATTGGTTAAATCAGTTAACTGATTTCGGGTAGTATTTCATGGGTAACCGGGTCTGATTTGAGAATCGGTTAACCGTCAATTTTATAAGTAAAAAAGAGCAATTTTGACAGAAAATTCGTCACTGTATGAGTCTTTAAGCTGTTTTCTTTAGTAAACAAACATCTTTATTGATTGAATAATTGAGATTAATGAATCAAGATAGGGTATCAATTATCAAAACACTTACGAGTTGCAAGAATTGTGGCCAAGATTATCAAGCCTCTTTTTTGATTTAAGTTCAATTAATTACTCATTCTGGATTATTGCATCACAATGGTCTTAGTTTGTCGATAGTCACCGTTTGCACCGTTATGTTAATCAGGTTAAACAAATAAGCACTGTAATCATTATCAGACGTTCGGCATGCGCCACGGTTCGTTGAATTTTGTTATTATTTTTATTGTATTGAGGAAATGTAACACAGTGTTTTTAAAGCATGTTCTAGTGTTTTAATGAGTTTTGTTATTATTTTTATAATTTCAATCGAGTACGAGTTGCTTAGGATGAAAACAGTTATAAAGATCGTATTACTTTTTATTAACTCTCCTCTAATAGGCTGTTTGTGGAACCAGTACATTGATTCGCGGTGAGTTCAATGAGATACACTCATTATACTGACAAACCGTTATTGCCGACAATTACCTCGTTCGTAAAATTCACTAGCCGTTTCAACACTAACTATAAATATGTTTTAAATATGTTAAGATTGATATGCATTAAGGTTGTTTCCAGCTAGCTTGATACTGTATCTGACATTTGGAACACTTGCTGTTCATTGAGATCATTTACTTTCAATAGCTTTTTCATATCATTTATGTTCCTTAACAATCAATATTGATAAACCTACCTGGTTTTGATCTAGTATCTGTTGGTCAGTCATATTTTTGTTTTCTATAGAAACTGGTTTGCTGACATGACAATCATAATTAGGTGTTGGATCAGAATGACTTCCAGTAGTGATCAATGGAACAGTCTTAACTCTACCCTACAGAACCAAATGAAATACAAGTGGTTGCCTAGCAAGATACGCTCACTTTCCTGATACATTTTCAGTATATCAAGGGCAGACACCTATCTGTGTCAAATCATACCAAAAAAACTAATTTGTGCAAGATAATGTTAATTCAAACGAACACACACTAATTAATAAAATTCTGACATAAACTTTCACCTCTATCACCAACAAATCTTGATGCGTTTTTACTAAGTCATGGGCAATAATAACTCAAATTGTCTAATATAATCTTGACTAAGATCTCATCATTATAAAAGATAATACCAAATTTCTTTTAAATCTGATGTACTCTCTATTGTGTTCACAAAACAAAGTTTTTCATAAATCAAAGGCAATAACTAAAAAAACCATAAAGATAGCCAAATTCGAGCTTGTCCAAGATTTCATCATTACACCAAATTTTCATTTAAATTGGATGAAAACTGTAATGTTTATTGTGTTCACAAATAAATTTTGACGCGTTTTTCTTAAGGCAAGGGCAATAACTCAAAAACCGTTCATCGAAAGATAGCCAACTTCGAACTTGTCCAAGATCATCATTCTAAATAATCACACCAAATATCATTCACATCAGATAAAGATAGCTTGCGAGGCAAGGTAACATACGCCCACTGACAGCTGTCAGAAATGATAAAACCGTCTTTAGTGACTAAAGTACGAATTTTCTCATATTGAAGAAATTTTATTAGAATTCAATTACATAGATATATATATGCCAGTTATTTATGCTGAGTAATTCTACAAACTTTTTTAAAATCAATATCAATTGCCCAAAAAAACAATTAAATCGCACAGCTCTAATCAAGGGCCAAAAAACAACTTTTGACGAGTGTCAATGGCAATAACTCAATAAACGTTCATCAAAAATATCTCAAGTTAGAACTTGTCCAAGATCTTATCAATTCCAATGATCATCATCATCATCAGAATCGGTTGAAAACTGTAGCTTCAATCCTGCTCACGAACAATTTTTAATAAAATTCAAGGGGTTCTAAGTCAAGGGCAATATCTCAAAAACCGTTCATCGAAAATGTCAAATTCGAACTTGACCGAGATCTTATCAATCTAAAGCATCCCACCAAGTTTTATCAAAATCAGATGAAAACTGTTGTCTCTTTAGTGCTCACAAGAAATGTTGACGGACGGACCGACGGACCAACGGACAACCTTTAGTCTTACACTTGTTTTGAACTCTTTGGGACGAAACTGAATAATATTACCAAGTTTTGTCAAGAATTGTGCCTTTTAATGTTAGTGAATTTAACCTATACTAATTATTTTTCAATTTTACTCTTTTTTCATCCTTGGGTGATCAAAAACACTCACACCAAGTTTCGTCAAAATCTATCAAGAATTGTGCCTTGTAAAGTGTTTACGAGCTAAACATTATACACATTTTCAAGAACAAGAGCAATAAGTAATACAGTGGTGTTACCTATTTTCGTGGATATAACGATTCAACACCGAATTTCGTCAAAGTTAAAAAAACGAATTTTTTTTTTTTGTCTTAGATGTTTCCTCAGATATTCTACAAAATAATTAAAATTGGTTTATTTCGATTTTCTTTATGAATCCTTCACTTTGACCCATATTTCATGAGCAACCAACTCGGCAACACGGCAGAATGCGTCACCTATTTTCGTGTACAATGTTTGATCTATAAATAAATCTAGAAAAACACGTTGTATAGATACCGGGTGGTATAATTAACTTCTCTTAGTATTTATCTTTAATATCAATTCATTATAACTACTGACAATTCCTTCAAAGAACCACGATTTAAAAAAAAAATAGTGACTGACAAAATAAGATACGTAGCGTGATTTATTGCTAAAAGTCACTGAAACAACATAAGAATATGGTACACTTTGTGTTCCATAGAAATTTTCTGCTGACACGGAATCTGCTAGTTGATCATGTGACTTCACTCGTTGGACTACATTCTAGCAGACGACACCTGGAATTCTGATTACGGCTTGGAATTATACTGAAATTCGGCCGATAAAAAATTTGGTAATAAGTGAAATCCGCCATTTTGTATTTGTCGTAATAAGTGAAATCCGCCATTTTGTATTTGTCAAAGTATATATTAATACATTTTACCTTGCTTGAAACTACTGGATTCATTCTACTAGCTGATATTGTAGAGAAAACCCGTGTTTATTAAAACAAGCTAATGCGGAGGTCACGCAAGGTCTCTCGTATAAATTATTAATCCTTTCTGGAAATCCACGAATAATAGGTTTCCACAAATTAGGTTACTTGACTGTACTAAATATTTTTCGATTTTTTTGATTTTAAAAATTAAATTGTCAATATTCTGACAAACATGGGTGATGCCATTTCAAGTGGGCATATACAAAGAGAAATAATAAATTCACCTTTAAAAATTTGAACATGATGATTTGACCAAACCAGTGAGGAGAATCTGTAGTAACTATTGGTATAACATCAACATATCTTGATAGATGAACACCTTAAACAGAAAATAAGAAAAAATAATGTGTAACATGATTAAGATACACTGCAACATATATACATTCAAACAGTTTCAGTTAGAAGTAAATGTCTTTCGTGTTTAATAAAAAAAAAAAAAAGCATTACAAAGTTTCATTTAAATGGTCAAAAATGTATCTATCATCATAGTGACAAGATTAAGTTGTGGACAAATCAAAAACCCAAGCTTTCATCATTCTCTCAAGGCGAATTAAATGATTTCTCCCTTCAGTAAGATTTGATCATTCTGCAAGTTGATACCAACCAAACCATGGCTCCTATCGTTATGGAAGGGCAGGGCCAAAGCAATATAGATAGCACTTTTTAAGACAAATGATCGAAAAAATTGATATTATGATGAACATATACAGGTTTGAAAGTCAAGAAATATAATAAAGATAGCTTACCAGGCAAGGTAACATACGCCCTCTACCATGATATTAAATATGATAAAGTCTTTAATAATGAATTTTCAAATAATATAGGCAAAACCTCAAAAACAGTTCATCAAAGTCTCATTGGAGAACACACGGTGGAAATAAAACCTTTCATCCGATTATTACCAACTTCGAACCCAACCGAGATCTCAACAATATTTACATGTATGCCAAGTTAAATTAAAATCAGATAAAAAAAACTGTAGTCTCTTTCGTGCTAAAAAGCCAAATATTATGTGTCAGGGCAATAACTCCAGAATAGTTCATCCGATTGTTACCAATTTTGAACTTGACTGAGATCTCATGAATATATACACGCATACTAGGTTTCATCAAGATCGGATTAAACTATAGCCTATATCATGCTCACAAGTCAAATTTGATGTGTTTTTACTAAGTCAAGGGCAATAACTCTAAAACCGTTAATCCGATTATTACCAATTTTGAACTTGACTGAGATCTCATTAATATATACACGCATACTAGGTTTTATCAGGATCGGATTAAACTATAGCCTATATCATGCTTACAAGTCAAATTTGATGTGTTTTCACTAAGTCAATGGCAATAACTCTGAAACCGTTAATCCGAAAATTACCAAATTCAAACTTGACTGAGATCTCATCAATGTATAGATGCATACCAAGTTTCATCTAGATCAGTTAAAAACTGTAGTCTATATCAAGCCTACAAGCCACATTTGATGAAATCAAGGGCAATAACTCTGAAACAGTTCATCCGATTATTACCAAATTCGAACTTGACTGAGACCTCATCAAAATACATACATAGCATTCATCATGATCAGATAAAAACTGTAGCCTCCATCGTACATACACGAAATGCGGACAGGTGCGACATCAATACTCATCCACATTTCCATGTTGGAGTATAAACAAGTGGGCATTGGTCAGCTGCTTACCCATCTGAGGATGTCCAATGAATGAGGATTCTTCATTACCAACTTTTAAACCTTGTTTTATAATTTCACTTACAAATTCATCCTATAAAGACAATAAATTTTCATGTTCTCTTGTAACCAAAATTTTGGTTACAGCATAATTCTGATATTGTAAACAATTGCTATAACAGTTTTGAACAGAGATTTGTGTTATTTAAAGGGAGAGTTTTGCCATCTGTTTTCATACCTTAATTTAAGGAAACAGGATAATCTGTAAAAGTGTGCACTGTTCACCATCACAGTTAAAAAGACACATATAGAAATAAAATAAGAAAATCATAGTTCCTTTAACACCTTATAAACTATTTAACATTATGTATCTGTGAGGATGCAATTTACCTTTCTTGGACCAACAGCATAGATAAATCCATACGTTTCAATAAGTTCTTTCTCAGTGTAGCCATTATTTTTCATGGCATTTCTCTTTTCTACAAACTGAGAGAATTTATGTTAATTAGAATATGGATAAGAACAATGTTCAAGATGGCTTGTCACATTTTAAAGAGTAAAATCGAGCCAACTGTTAGGTTATTCGTTATGAATTATTCATAACACAAATTAGTCATTCAATAGTAGCCGACAATGGAAATATTTGTCAGAATCCATTTGTTTTTACCTCATGAAAGAAACTGGTATTATTCCCAATTATTAGAACACCTTGACGATTGATATAAGTATGAGCTCTCAATTAATCAAATATATGAATAAATAAAATAAATTCGTCAAATATCTTTTATGATTAATAAGGGGGCTTGGTAAGAGTAATCTAGCTCTCATTTCAGCACTTTTAATCTCACAACAATTTAAGGAAGTAAAACAGAGCTTTTTGATGTGTTTAAGTTTCATTTTATGACTTCATTTGCATCAAGTTTTAATTAATATTGAATAGCCTATGCACTTGCAATGACCTAAAATTTTCTAAATCTGAATAAAAGATAATTTCATAAAAACATGACTAAGTCTGTACAGTCAAGTAACCTAATTTCGTGGTAACCTATTTTTCGTGGATTTCCAGAAAAGTTTAATAATTTACATGAGCGACTTTGCGCGACCTCCGCATTTGCTTGTTTTGATAAACATGGGTTTTCTGTACAATATCAGCTAGTAGAATGAATTCAGTAGTTTCAAGCAAGGTAAAATGTATTAATGTATACTTTGACAAATACAAAATGGCAGATATCAGATATCAGTTATTACCAAACATCACTGTTTTTATCGCCCAATTTCCTTATAATCCCAAGCAGTAATCGAAATTCCAAGTGTCGTCTGCTAGAATTTAGTCCAATGAATGAAGTCACATGATCAACTGGCGGATTCCGTCTCAGCAGAAAATTTCTATGGAACACAAAGTGGACCATATTCTTATGTTGTTTCAGTGACTTTTAGCAATAAATCACGCTACGTATCTTATTTTGTCAGTCACTATTTTTTTTTAAATCGTGGTTCTTTGAAGGAATTGTCACTTGTTATAATGAATTGATATTAAAGATAAATACTAAGAGAAGTTATTTATACCACCCGGTATCCATACAACGTGTTTTTTTCGATTTATTTATAGATCAAACATTGTACACGAAAATAGGTGATGCATTCTGCCGCCATGAAATATGGGTCAAAGTGAAAGATTCATAAAGAAAATCAAAATAAACCAATTTTAATTATTTTGTAGAATATCTAAGGAAACATCTAAGACATAAAAAAAAAATTTGTTTTTATAGCTTTGACGAAAAAAGGTGTTGAATTCTTATATCCACGAAAATAGGTTACACCACTGTATAAACAACAAATGGAAATACCTTTTTAACTATTTCTGCCTTGTTAATCAAGCAGCATTTTTTAATGGTTAACTTCTCACTTGACGTGTAATAAAAAAGTTGCTTAACCTTAGGTAAAACTTCATGTTTAAATTGGTAAGAAGATAATGTAACCTCTGAGAGTAAATCTGAAATATTCAATTCAATGTTCTTACTATTTTGTAGGCTTAAAGTCATCGCAAAAGAAAAACAATGTACCTTTAAGTTACACCCATGATCTTTTCAATCCAACAATTTTATTTTTCACAATGTTGTTAGAAAAGATTTTAATTTGAAAAAAAAAAAATTATCGAACAATATGTAAAGAGTTTTCATTGATCTTGCTGATCCAGATGCATATCAAAATCAAAGTTATTCTACCATTTGCCTCATTACATTTTTAACAAATTATAAAATATGATTTCCAGACCTAATCAACTTATTTTTATCAAATGTGTTCAAGGGGAAAACTTCATGGTAGAAATAATTTGTTTCAGATAAGGACAGGAGACAATGAGCCTGAGGACCACTCTTTGACTCATTGTGACATTTGCATGATTTGTATTTTAAACTCTGTCTTCTTTAATCTAACCAACCAACCTCAGTCACAGGTAGGCCTACTCTCTGGCAACATCAATTTAAGTTCTAAATCACATTTTGTCTATCATTCTATCAGGGTGCGATGAGGGAAATTTTGCCAGGACAGCGGCATTAGCCTGCTCTTTTTCGATTTCCAACTGTCGAGGGATCTTTAACGTGCCTGTAGCACACGGGGCCTCGGTTTATTGTCCCATCCGAACGACTAGACGCTTTTTCCATGTCAGCACCTCTTACCTGCATCACTGACAGGGGGAAACCGGGTTGAAAAATCCTAAGGTATTATCTCGACCTATGCCGGGATTGAATCCTGGACCTCCAGTTTAGCGAGCAAGCATCTTAACTCACTGAGCCACCGCGGCTCCCGAAATTTCTTGGTAGAGAAGTGTGTTCATTTCTAGTGCAAAATTTTCATAACTTACATATTCATGGACCCAAAGGCATTCTAAGACAATTGGTATGCACTTAAAACTCATATTTGAATATTTGTGACATGAGAGAAAAAAATTAAATTTAGAACTCATCAATGTGGCCAGAGTAGACTACTCAAAGGTAGACCAAGAATTAGTAGTGCCGTGGACAAGTCAGCATAACTAAAACGACCATAATTAACCAAATAAAAAAATTACCAGGGTGATCTTTTAAAAATTTGGGTATCTTGTAAATCTTGGAAGGGGAAATTTCGACTTTATTTGATTTTGACAGTTCATCATCTATGATATTCCCGCCATCTTTGATGGTGCAGACACCAGATGGACGTTTGACAGAATTATCTACAAAGGTTTCGGCTTGATTTTCTCCTTTTCCATCGCCTGACATTTCATTTGAAGAAGGCTGAAAACGGGGTCGATTGACGCCTTCACCGTCCATGTTTGCAGTTTATCAAATTCTTGTCATTTACGTGAGTTTTCAAAGACTTTGTACCAGTTACGTTTCTGTCACAGACATTTCTATTTTCACAACACATGTTTATATTAGAAAATGCGCATGTGCGGTGCTTACTCAGAGACCCGTTATTGATAAAATATGCAATTAATTTATTACATCAAAATATAAGAATAAACATAAACCATATCAAACTGAATGAATGATTTAAAGCAGAGGGTTGGAGGATGAAATTTCTATGATCTGTCATACATCAGCGATTCATATAATTATTTCAATAAAGTGTACCGTTGCTGTACATTAACGGTTAAGCTATCTCTAAGCCAAACCTTGATTAATAATATATTTTCAAACATAGATCATTATCTACTCATCTTGTATATATATATTACCGTCTACTGTCCAGACTGTCCTAATTTGAACTGCTGGTTCAATGGTTTTATGCAGCTGCATCCATGTAGATGGGTCTGGATAGGCCAGTCTCTTATGAGCTCCATTAATTATCTTAAGAAATACACCCCTCGGAAATGAGCTTGGCCCGGTTTGCACCCCCACCCCTTTTCTTCTTTCCAAATCTTAAATTTCTTATCATTGAGTTCTTAAGTGTACGGTGTTTGACAATTATTTTGTTGCAGTTACTTGGCACCTCCACCTAAGGATTCCTAGAACGTTACTGATCTGTTTGTGGCGACCGGTTTGCGTACTCGCCCCGTTGCCCCTTGTGAAGAGATTTTTATACATATGGATTATATTGAAATTCTCAACGAGACGAAAAAGCTTTATCACAAAACAAACAAACCCTAGCCGATTTCTTTTATGTAAATCTAAATGATGATATAGTAGTTTTCATTGTGAACTTTGAACCAAGTCAATTGTGAAAATTTGTTTAGAAACAGTGATATGCGATATTTAACTCCCAAACTTGAAAGTAAACAGAGCAAATTATAATCCAGGTAAGAATATATTATATGTAATTTATAAGCTGGTATAGTAAGGGTATTTATGCGGTTTACTTTAAACGTCAAGACGACCATATCTAGAGATATTTGCTCGTAAATGGTCCGGTGCTCTCATCCACTGATGAGTATTAGGTATTAGGTATTAGGTGGTGAGAGCCGATTAATTAAAACGCTCCCAACCCTACTGGGAACTTGAAGATATGGCTTTAGAAGGATGTTTGAGATAAATGTTTCCCATAATTTGCAATTGGTGAGGAACGGTATTCTGCTTTTCCGGCGGAGGACCTACTTCATTTGAAGTGCTTGCTAGGTTTTTAAGAGGGGAATGTTGTCGTTTTCTCAATGATCCTTGTTTTGACATTGAAGATGCTTGGTTCCTGAAGATGACGAAGCATGTACTGCAGTTTCTACATCTGTATTGATCGACCGTAACGAGATCAGCAGTTTTAAGCGATTGCGGATTATGCACATACATTTCTCAAGAGTATTTTTTAGCCTAATTACTTGTTTCCGATGAGAGGCAAATTTTGATACGAAAAATTGCGTTAAGCTAAAGTCAATTCTTATGTCAAAATTTTTTTCACAGTCTGAATCACAGAAGATTCACTAGAGTTCTTTAGGGGTGGTTTAACAAACCGATTTAGATCTTGAATTTAAAAAAAGAAGAGTTGGCAGCTGACCATTGCTTGCTTGAATTGAGATTACTGAAGCACTGACATCTACATTTTTCTTACATTAGGGAGGATTCGAACGGACGGCCCCTTATCGCCTAGCAGACGGCAATCCATTTCGCTACCGACTGAGTTATTCCACTGTTGTTAAAGGGACAGATGCGCCATTATTTTTGACCAATAATACTTTAGTCTCAGAAACGGATAGACAAGATTCTTGATAATTCCGTTGCCTAGATGGATGATAGTTCCGTTGACAAGATTGTTGATAATTTGGTTGACGAGATTGTTCATAGTTCGGTTGACGCCATGTTGATAAATTGTTTGGCGGGATTGTTGATAGTTCGGTTGACGATATTATTGATTTGTTTGTTTGACAAGACTGTTGATAGCTCGGTTGAGGAGATTGTTAATAATTTGGATGACGAGATTGTTGATAATTCGGTTAACGAGATTGTTGATACTTCGGTTGACCAGATTGTTGATAATTTTGTCATGATTATTGATAGGTGCAAAAAGATATGCTTATTGATTTCAGCTCATAATATATACCTACCCTTAGATGATTCATCTGTTTGTTTCATTATCAAATTTTCACTATTATTTGTTGAAAACAATTGAAAAAATCTTGTCTGGAACAAAACAAACTGGACACCATCTAAAACTGAATATATGTACCTTAATTTTTATTTATTTTTTGTGTTACCGAATTCATATGATATACACTGGAGGAATGTTCATACCAAACTTATTACTTGCTTATTAAAAATGACTACTTTGTGGTATAGAAAGTATTGCACATATAAAAATAATAATCAAAATCATACAGGAAACTACATAATCACCATCTACATGTATTTAAGATAAGATACACACAAACACATAAAAATAAGGATCTAATTAAGGCAAAGGCTACATGTCAAATTATTATTAGCTTTTCTTTTCTTCCTCACAGTTGCTCAGATTGAGTTTGTGATCGGTTCTTTCGAAGCTGACTAAGGTATATCTATTGTTTCCCTCTACACACCATTGATCTCAGACCTTTCCACATTGATTAAAAATCCTTAATATTTTTGGTTTGTGCTGAGTTGCTTGTTTTGTTAGATTCTAGACGATTGCTATCCATTTTTAAATGCAAGCATCAAAAACTGGACTAAGATCTTATAGCCTAGCACATCATAAGAACTTGATGAATTCGATGATACGACCTGACAAACTACAATCCCATCTTATTTGGACACGAATAGTAGACGAAATTTCTATCGAGCGTCTGCAAACGAGCCAAACGTTACGTAATATTTTTTTTTACACTCCCCCACAGTTGGCAAGAGAGGATACCCATAGAAGCACTGGCCTAGATGACAAAAATAAAATACCAGACTTTATTCACCCTAGGAATATTTTCCATTTTTTCATAAGCACATAAACATCACTCTTTTCTGATCTGACACTACATTTCAAAGTGTTGATATCTACTTTAAAAAAGTAGCCTAAGTGATTTTTGATGGTCAAATAAACTTTAATGTTGTACGATAAGTGATGACATGAAGTTATTATAATATGCTACAATTGTTCAGCAATAATTCAATTGCCACATATTCCAATTTGTATCCGTTATGTAGCCTGTTATGCCTCGCCAAGGGCGCTCTCTGCCCAGGGATAGCTAGATGAACAGTGATTATCAATATTGTGCGTTGACAAATTTTGATGTTCGTATATAGCCTAATCAATCCATTCGGCTCAACCTTCGCCAATGATCATTGGTTTCCGTGAGTTATAACTAGCATAATTCTAATCTCGAAGGTGAATTGTCATTTGAAACACTGATGTGTTAATTTTTTAACTCTCCCCCCCCCTTTGTAACACTTTGTAATATAAAGCTAGACTCTTTCCCCCCTCCTTTGAGGCGTAACGTATTTTTTGAATGACCTCTTACTTGTTTTCAGAAGTTCTCTAACCTGAAAATATCAAGAGTTATTGATTGACAATTGTTGGTAAAATGGTGAAATCTAAAGTGTGGACATTAAAGCAGCAGTTTGATGGACAACCTAAATCATCAGACTTTGAACTTGTAGACGAAGACCTGTCAAGAAAACTCGACGATGGAGGTATATTACATCTTTGCTTTATTTATTTCTGATAATAGTGGTAATACTCAAGCTGTTGTAAATTCATCTGTACATAATGTTGACGTATCGGTGACATGGATAACAAATCGCAAAAAAAACTTACTGGAACTAGAAAGTTCGACAAATATAACCATTGAAAGTAAAGTCAAGATTCACAGAGTATTTTTACGATTCACAAAACAAGAGACAGTCTATTGGGTGAAGATAAGTCCTGTAGTATACCATCTATAGGTAGTCTCGAATGGAAGCTTTTGGTCTATTTTCAGTATTGTTCAGAATCAGGTTATGAATATAATACACAATTCTATTTTTCAGAGGTCTTGGTAGAGGCAGAATATCTCAGCGTAGATCCTTATATGAGGTATTCATTGACATTATATTAACTCATGCTCTAAAACCATTTTTCTAAAATAACCAACCAATAAGTATAGACTATTCTGAACATCATAAAACAAGCACTATTACATGTATTTCCAGGGTTTATAAAAAAGAAACTGGTAAACCAATGATTGGTTCTGGTGTTGGAAAGTAAGTATTAAGTACCAGTGGCTTAATTTTGGCATTTCAATGGCTATGCCCCCCACCCCCCTCTTCCTGAAAAAAGTTCTCGCTAAACCACTGTTTAGCGCAGATGTTCTCAACTCGTAAACTTCTTTCAAAAAGATATGAACGTCCAAAAGTTAAACAGTTCTATTAACACAAACCACCTCAAACTGTCAACTATGCAAGTGTCAGTAGACCTCTGTAACTTTTAGAAACCGAGGGTGCCTAATGAACTCCTTCAAAGTATCCCTGATAACTGATATTGAATGTAGTTCTACGTTTTCAGAGTTCTAAAAAGTGCCAACACTAGTTACAAAGAAGGACAAAAAGTGTTCGTGAATGCTGGATGGCGCACTCACGCAATAGTTAGTGATAAACATAGCCCATACGAAGTAAGACACCTACCACCTCTTGGTGATTTGCCATTATCAGCAGGTCTTGGTGTAATGGGCATGCCTGGGTAAGTATTTACTATCATGCGCAGACATGTTCTTTTTTGACACAATGCACAAAGGGGTCTGGCCAGAGAATTGATGCTAGGTGATTCACAATGGATAATCCTGTAAATATGTCTACCACAATGCACCAACCTTTATACGAACGTGTCTGTAGAAAGATCAAAGAAAAAAGAACAGAACCTGTTTCTAGACACCTGTCCATAAGTTCGTGATGTCGAGACAAGAAAATTGATATTGGTTGTCTCACGGTAAGTGATGGGTTACATTAATACGACTATATCTTTGTCTATATCCACAGCTTGTAGCACCATTGGATGTGTTTTGTCACCTTAAGCATGAAACAAAATTATTATGTATAAACGCTTTTTAGGATGACAGCTTACTTTGGATTTATTGATACATGTAAACCTAAAATTGGAGAGACTGTACTGGTCAATGGTGCAGCTGGTGCAGTTGGTAGTGTTGTAGGGCAGTTAGCCAAGATAAAGGTTTGATTCTTTAAAATATCTGTAAAACTTACTTTAAATATTGATGGTAAACATCATGTCAATTTACATTTAGTTTACATTGACGTTATCTGCATGCGTACTTATCAAGAACACGGTCGTTTTAATGTGTGACACCAGTCAATTAGGTTGATAGCGAGACAGTGTTACCTTTATACCGAAACACATAATAAATGTATTGTTTACAATACGTAGTTATTTTCAGGGTTGTACGGTAATTGGTTTTGCCGGAAGTAAAGAGAAATGTGATTGGTTAACATCATTAGGTTTCGATCATGTTTTTAATTATAAAGAAACAGACGTGAAAACAGCCCTAAATAAGTCAGCTCCTAAAGGAGTTGATATCTATTTTGATAATGTAAGTTTATAATGGAAGTCTGAAAATAACCTCGTCTGAATGTCTCAGCAAATGATAAGTCAGTCATTTCAATGATTAGCAATGAATAAAACTTTACCCAATCCATATATAACGGAGCATAAAATTCACTTCATATACAGTCAATGGTACATAGAAGTAACCTCTGTTACTGTTAAAATAGCTATCGAAGTCTGGAGGCACATGTTTCGGACTACAAGTTATTTAGAAAGCCACATCAACATATATGCCTTCCGATTAAATTTAGGTTGGTGGTCAATTTACAGTTGATGCCTTACCATACATGAACACTTTCGGTAGAGTACTGGTTTGTGGAGCTATTTCTACATATCATGATGGAAGTCCAATGTTAAGTAAGTAGCCGATGTAACTTAAAGAATGTGGTCGTGCGATGCCCTTGCCCCTATTATTATCCATTACCAACTGGAAACATCAATGATGCATTGAAAATGGTTAACGTATCGTTTCTGTGCAGTCCTTGCGAGTTTTATTTTGTTGATAATGTTTTTTGCCAAACTTTCATACATAGAATAATTAAATTTGAACAACAATGTATTTATTTACTTCTCATATATTTTCAGTGCCCAATCCGTTTATGTTTATTCTACAGAAGAAATTAACAGTGTATGGTTTTATTGTAACTGATGTTTTAAATAGGTGGAATGAAGCTTTCCCTGAAATGTTACTCTGGATACAACAGGTAACATCTAACTTAACAATTTATACTTACACATTCTGGATTTCGACAAAGTCGTAAACTTAGATTTGTATAGGACTTTAGGGACTCAATTCCCTATAATTTGCAATATTGTTTTGTTGCTACAGCAAGTATTATAATCGTCGATAACTCATAGAACGTTTGATTTAACAACGAATTTTGAAACATATGGATACTGTTAGATTATGTCATACAGATTTTTGTATTGCACTTAACAATGAAGATATGTAGTCAGAACAGAGTGAACCTCTCCCATTTACAATTTATATGCTAAGATATCCAATAAATCATTAATTGCAGGGAAAATTGAAATTTCGAGAAACTGTAACAGAGGGTTTCGACAAGATGCCAGAAGCGTTTTTCTCCTTATTTAGTGGTGGTAATATTGGTAAAGCAGTAGTGAAGGTTTAAACTAACATGGGCCGTGTAGATATACCTTATATATTTATATCTCAGTTCACCAACCATCCATGAAGAGTTAATATTTGTATTGATGTTATTATTTTTTTATGATAATTTTATATGGTCAATAGATAGAAATAAAGACAAAGAGAAGACTGCAAAGTTAAATTTTTCTCCCTCCAGTTAAAACTGTAAATTAAAGATAAAAATGATATATCGTAGATGTTTTATATTTATATTGCTCAATACGTTTTTATAAGACCACATGGTCCGTCGGTCCGTCCACATTTCTTGTATGCACGATAGAGTCTACAGCTTTAATCTGATCTTGATGGAACTTGGTATGCATGTATATATTGATGAGATCTCAGTCAAGTTTGAATTTAGTCATAATCGCATGAATGGTTTTGAAGTTATTGCGCTTGACTTAGTAAAAACGCTTGTAGTCATGATACAGGGTGCAGTTTTTAGTCTCGATGAAACTTGGTATACATGTATAAATGAGATCTCCAGTTCAAAGATAGCTTGCCAGGCAAGGTAACATAGGGCCTACTCCCACTGGCAGCTGTCAGAAATGATAAAGCAGTCTTTATTGACTAAAGTACAAATTTTAAAGAAATTTTAATAGTTTGAATTCAATGATCAATTGATCAATTTAAAATCTATTTCAATATCCCAAATTCATCTAATTATTAAAATCACACAGCTCTAATATCAAGGGCGAAAAATTTGCTAAAGAGTGAAGTCTCATCAATATCAATAAAAGGACCTAAAACTCCATTCATTTCATTTCATTCATCATAAAAATCACATGAAATCAGTCTCTATTATGTTTATAAACAAATTTTGAAGCATTTTATCTTAGTCAGAGATACAATTTCAAAAACCGTTCATTGAAAAATCGTCAAATTCAAACTTGACCAAGATCTCATCAATATAAATCATAAAAATGGTAATAATTGGATGATTTTTTTTTAGTTATTGACCTTGAATTAATTCAATGTGTCGAATTTTGGCCTGATACACTACATTTTTTATCCGATCTTGATGAGACTTGGTATGAGACCTTAGAAATTAGTAACGATCGGATGATTGGTTTCACATATTAAACCACTACACACTTTGTTATCATTTCTGACAGCTGGTAGTGGGCGTATATTACCTTCCTGGCAAGCTATCTTTATAGAATTTGTTAATAAAATATAAATTGTTTTCCTTATTTATTTATAAGATGGAGTTCTTTGACTATAGTTGGTGTCGGAATGCAATATCTGCTCCTATTTTTTTTTTACAATAATATATTTAAGTTTTTCAATAAAAAAATGTCTATAGGGCATAATACAAAATCATGAAAACATTATCAATGCGGCGTTGCATTTACATAATACGCTCACCTTACAACCCCTTATGCTATACATGGGCTTACTCCTTATTTTAAAATGTTGGCCTTTTGAAACTAGCTTTAGTGGAAAATGTATTATTTTAGTCTTTCATTTCATGCACTTATTACTTCCCTTTACATGCAAAATTAATAGGCTCCTCAGTTTCACGAATCTTGAACTGACTTATCGATTTAAGTCTACTTTTCTTCTCCAGTTTTGGCTAATAAAAGACTTTGCAATGAGGGAAAGTTTGTCTTGTAGCACAAACGTCATCGTTTTATTGTGAAATGTGAACATCAGGTGCCTTCCATCTCATCCCTATTTTTAATGGGCTGATAAATCCATAGGTAGGCCTCCCAATGTCAGGATTTAACTCAGGTCCGTCTAAATCACTGAGCAACCATCAATTCCACTGAAATTCTAGATGTCTTCATTTAACAAAAAATTCAATGATAACATCGGTAGACTCTCTACTGGCTGGCAATCCTTATATTAGTAGCTCCCACTGAACACAACTTTGAAACAACATTATTTGTCGTTCCTTGAACTTGGCAATGTCTCATTGACTTCCTCGAACGTGATCTACAGATGATATATAAGCACGTTTTAGGCCAGACGCAAAATATCACTTGCTTCCTCATTGTTGCATGAGTTTGTAACACATTTTCTAATCATTATACTACTTTTGTGATCAGTTACCTTCCTTGTTCTATGCTCTTTGCCATCCCTTGAACAATTAAAATTATAGTACAATAGTTTAATCAGTTACCTCCCTTGAACTATTAAAATTATATTACAATAGTGTCATCAGTTACTTCCCTTGAACTATTAAACTTATATTACAATAGTGTCATCAGTTACTTCCCTTGAATTTTAAATTTATAGTACAATAGTTTCATCAGTTCCCTTCCTTGAACTTTTTTTCGGCGTTTCTGTTATGTATGGGAAGTATGATGGGTATGCCTACTCTTCTAAACTCCAAATACCACTTGTCATTATGAAATATTTACTCACTTATGATTGGTAATATACTTCCTCATGTGGCGAAAAGTTCATTAGCTGCTACCAATGTATTGCAAATATGTTGTGTAGGACTTCAGGTTTCGTTTTGCGGTTCGCGTTAAATTTTGACAGTTTGTCTGTTGAAGGGACCAAATTTGACATTTATTATTTGGGTTTCATAAGAAATTTGATTTTAAGCCATTGCGACCTATTGTTCTCTTCCCCCGATGAATACCTTTCTGAGCTATGATTTTGTAGGCAAATCTTGGGGATGTATTTAGTCATTAGATTTGACCTAGGTTAATGCCAACTAGACATATGGAGTGTCGAATTCCGATCCCAAATATCCATAATTATCACTTCTACACCTATCTTGTGAAAGACAAATACATTTTTATGGTGGAGACTCTACAGTGCTTATAATAGATTCATTGTATGGGCATAGGAGTATATGAATAACGTTTTAAAAAACAAACAAATAAAAAAAACCCAAACGTGTGTTATAGCATCAATTAACTGAAAACAAATTTATTCATTCATAATTTTTCAATTCAATTTAAGATTTAACAAATTAAAGAATAGTCTATATATCATACTGATTTGCAATGGTTAGTCATAAAGAAAATCTGTTCAAGGACATCCGTAATAACAAATAACCTACGACCACAATCATTAGGCATTATTTACACAAGCCGTGAGAAGGAATCGATTATAACCGGAAGTACATGCAGAAGAGCCTGCTTGACTCGATTGATGGATGTGTAAAACATGTTAACTGTCCATAAATGAGTGAAAGATGCTGCCCTATCAGTGCAGGTAGTTTAGTAAGAAGGAAAGAAAGAGATCCAGGAAATTAAACTCATTTGGAGTCGGAAGTTTAGGTAAAGTTCGTCATATCACCACTGAGTACATCCTGACACGAGTAATTACCACGAGTAAACAACTAATATCAAAACACCAAGTAAAAAAATATGCACACTGCATGTCTACATAATAAATAAAAGGGAACACAAACTTACAAATAATAAAAACAATGAAAAGGATGCGCTTGAAGCGCTATTGACTCCATCACGAGAAAATATTCTACCAATGAACCCAGCAGACTCGAGTGGGAATGTTACTTGCCGACTCCACAATACACCATCGCTATAATGAAATCTAACAGGAGCGACATCCAACTGGCCGCGGTTATTCACTAGGAATTGTGGGTAGACATGCTTGGTACTAAAATATCCCTTGATACGAAGATGTGTGAAATATGAGTGAGCTGAATTTTGAGGAATACCACATTCCTCTTCCGTCGAGTTGACACAACGGATGATGATGCAGGATTGTGAGAAAAGATATTTGTTTCCACCATGTATATACCCATTTTGAATAGCAAAGACATATTCATCTCCACCTCGTAAACTAATTTTGTATTCTAATTCGCAACATATTTCACTGTGGCATAGTTTGAATGTCCCTTGAGGTTTATCAAGTCGGGACATTGTATAAGGTATGCCGTTCACCTTCGTTACAAAAGTATCAGGACTGGGACCTTTAGACTGCAACTTAGTTGTATACTCCGGTATATTGTGACGTAATGGTTTTCGCAGGGTTCTGGCGGTTGCAATAACCAATCGACCATCGCTTCCCTGGCGGTTATCATAGTAGAACCTTGTTTGTCGGTCAGGAGTGAATATACCACTGCCTACTTTATTCATTAGTGGCTTATGGACATTGGCCGCTAAAAGATTCACCCCATATCCTCGTGCGAAACCAGCTTGTTCTCTAATAGTGACATAAGATGGTGGATTATCACTTGATGAACCAGAGCAGACGAAATTAGAGATCCCCATTTCTTCAATCATTCTGACTGCAGGATCAAACTGGTTCAAATCATTGCACATCAATACACCGAAAATTCCAAACGGTGTGTCGAAAGTTACCATTTCAGACATATGCGGATAATCGAATACAGAGTTGTGCGGAATGTTAAATTGGTTGTATTTGGCAATTAGGTTTCCATTGTTATCGAAGACAACAACAGTATTGTATATATAGAAACCATCTTCTGGGCAGTTCTCATCTTTATAGTCATCATCTTCTCCATCACACATTGCTTTACTAGCTAGATTGGCAACCACAAACAAAGAGTTGTTACGAGCTATACAACTCAATTCAAACTGTATTTTTGTACTGGCATGCTTCGTGGACTGGGTACAAGGATTCCAAAGGTCTTTAGTAACCATGGGTACTGCTTCTAGAAATGGTGTGATGTTGCGTCGGTCAAAGCCCATTCCATATAAACCACCTTGGGGGAACACCATTATTTCGACACTCTGTAATAACCAGAAACGATTAACATTAACCATGATTACATTTATTAGAATCTATCATAAATTTAAGATCCCTCAACACTAGCAGTATTATTGTGAAAGTGCTATAAACTTGTATTAGATATACTTAAATATATTTAATTATTGTTCATAAGGGAAGTTGTATTTTCTTTCTTTTCATTGAAACTGCAATTTATTACACTCTAGATTATTGCAATAACATGAAGTTATATTTAAGATAATGTCAAGGCCACTGTGTCGTTGCCAAAAGAAATACATTCCAACATCAAGACGGTTCACTTTGACTTTATATTTACATCCGGGTTATTTCAAGTCAATTACATGACAGGGGAATAATAACTAAAGATTCAAGAGTTAGATAAATATTGACTACAAAATAGTTCATGGTATAATTACAATAAAATTTGTTGTAGTACCTCTTGAGCTGCCACCATTGCTTGTTGGTTAAAGACGACCAGGTTCTTCATTGTAATAGCAATTGCCTCTTGACGGGAAAACTCAGTTGCTCTTGGTTCAGGTAGAATGACATCATGTTCGTACACAGCCGCTTTAAAGGCTTGTCTTTGTTCACTCACAACCAGTGATACCAGAATGATAGTCAACAAACCGGAAGACAACATCTGAAATGAAAAGTAGCAAATATATACATATATATATATTTTTTTTTAGAAGTGACGTTTCTTTGGCCTTTCAGTATATAGAAACGTCACTTCTAAAAATACTGGAAAAAATTAACTGACTCTGGTTCTGCCGTGTTTTTTTAAGTCAACTAATTTAGATTTAACATTTTTCTGGTCCTATTGCCTTAAAGTTCAGTTTACATTTGTGTTTAAAATGGAGTGATTTGCACAAACGCAGTCTTCAAAGTAAAATGGGATCCAGTTGATGAAAAGTCTCTTCAAAATCATGATGCACATGTATATCGTATGGGTATAAAATACAATCAAAAGTATCAGGATTACATTCGTCATTTCGAATTATCAGCCATGCCAAGATTATCAGGAAATGAGAGACAACATGCGATCGTAGGACTGCAAGCAGGACAGGGTGCACAGGTTGTTGTAAATGCATTCAATGTCAACGTCAGAACGATACATCGTTTGTAACATCGCTACAACACCACCAACGACCGTCTGTGTAGTGGTCGTCCAAGAGTTACCACACACAGACAAGATCGGTACATGATACGCCAACATCTGCAGAACCTATTCCGAATAACCACTGAAACAGCTCGGCAGACCATTGGCAACCACCAATGTGCAATTAGTGATCGTACAATCCGACGTCGCCTCACTGCCAACAACATCTCCTGCCACCGTCCTGCCCGTGGACCCGCTGACTGCAATGGGCTAGGCAGCATCAGAATTCAACAATTGAAAGTCATTACTGTGTTTCCATGGTGGATGGAAGTCAGGGTCTGGCCAACGTTATGCTGATGTTTTTGTCATAGAACGTGACTCGTGGGGCGGTCCAAGCATCATGGTTTGGGTTGAAGTTGGACTGAACCAGAGAGTGGGGCCTGTGGTGTTTCAGAATATTGGTCCAGGTAGGGGTAATGGAATCACAGCTCTGCGCTATATTAAGCAAGTCCTCAGACCCCACATTTTGGCTTTTTTGCTCGTCAACGTAACTACACCGATACCGGACAATGCTCGACCCCACACTGCCTGAGTCACCAGCAGTATAAAATTCAGGTCATGCTTTGGCCTGCTCTCTGATACTGATACTGACTTTCTCCAAGTTCACAATTTGCAAAAACATTGTTTATACTGTTAATTTTGATGAGTGTCAAACACCGATTTTCTCCAATGACTTTACATTATTAGCATTCGAATATACAGAAATATATATTATACATCCAAGTGACGTTTCTTTTGCTTTTTAGTAAATTATTATGAATGTAAAGTGAAATAAAAATGTTTTTCTCATCACTCGGTGAGAGTCAACCAATAGTAATGTTGATGTTTCAAAAACTGTCTTTAGATCTGAAATTTTAACAGTTGATGTTGATAAAACTTCCTTTATATCTGAAATATCATTAATGGATGTCTGAAATCTTAAAAAGTCGATGTTTCTAAAACTGTGTCTAGATACTGACTTCAGACATGAAATCCTAAACGTGGATGTTCAAAAAATTGCCTTTTTTAAATGTTTGTGTTTTTAAAAAACCTTTAGAGCTGAAATCCTAAAATTTAATTTTCCTAATTCTGTCTTCAGATATGAAATCCTAAATGTTGGTGCTCCAAAATCTAGATCTTAAAAGTTGATGTTTCTAAAATTGCCTATAGAGTCCATCTGTAGAATGTATTATGAAAATGTTTTTTTTCATAACCGATTAAATAATAAAACAATAAAAAAAAGCATCACAATTATTCGTTTTGTATAGTGATACCGTAATACACCAACAAATGTTCCCATTCTGATTATGACAATGGGTATCAAATATCTAAGTGAATAAAAAAGGCATTCTTATCTATTACTTTCTTTTAAAGAAAATGTACTTGAACCCAACATATTGCGAGGATAACAAAAGCAGTAGGTTTATGAGTCATTGTTTATGGGGATTCTTTCTTCCACCTTTGACATTTGAATTTTCAGCTCATGAAAAAGAGTTCGCAAAGGTCGTAAGGTGCAGAAATTAATGTGTTGTGAAAAATGTACTGTTGTTTTGTCCTGTTGCCAATTTCTGAACTCTTAAACATTCAGTCTACGGCATTTAGCCCATATCACAGATCCAAATTTTTAATCATAACAGCAAAATGGCATACCATTTGGTGCTAAGGTCCTTTATTGGGCTTGTAGGTTTGTAATTGTGCAACTTCGCTTGAGGCAAATTTAATTTCATTGGGTTAAGCTTATAAGATTTATTGACAATATTCAAAGCCAGCAACAACGTCCAACGATTTGCCATACTATATCTCGTTCTACACAGTAGGTGATTAGATCTTGATTGTCTGTATACCATTATGTTAAACTACATGCAATACTTTGCTTTCTCTGTAAATAACATGTTTTGATACTTGGTGCCAATTCCTGTATTTATTTCAGATTCTTGGCGACTCAATCTGTCTTCTGTCATAAATTGCTTCAATTTCATGCCAAATGTCTGTACGATACATTAAGTTTTATTATCGAAAGTATATTTATTGTTGGTCAAATAACAGTTGTTATGGTAGATATATTATATGGTATAAATTTCAATAAATGGGGCATTTCGGTATTTTTTCTAACTTGTTTCTAAATCTCACAAACTGTATATTCAAGTATATGTGTGATTTTCTCGTGTGTGGGAAGGTAACCAACGTCAACGGTACCAATGCTTTTATTTTACTTGAAAATTACGCGACAATGCAATTATAATGTTTTGTTGTTTGTTTCACTGTCACGATTTCTCATCTTCACAATATCAAATTATTACGAACTTCAACTACGACTACAATAGCCACCTTTCCGATATCACAGAAGTTTGTAAAATGTGACGATTTTATTGGATTCTACGCTAGCAATCAGAGGGCTCTTCAAAAAATCTGTGATCACTCAGCCATAATGCTGACAGTTTTTGTGTCAAGAGCTGTGATTGGCTGTATTCGTTTGCGAACAGTCCAATCCAATCGCTGCAATCCGTATACAAGAAAGGTCGCTACTAGTCACGGTTCGGGACGAAGTTTGTTATCGCTTGTCGTGGTGAAGACACGATTTCTTTAGGCGAGGGGACATTGTCTACATGCTTAAATACTAATAATAAAATCTTCACTCATGTGTCTAAATAAATTTTATGACTTATAGATTTGTTCGAAACTGTCTTTTCCATACATCTAAAAGAGTAGCTCTGATCAGAATTGAATTACTAAATTGCTGCAATATATAAAATTGTAGGGAATGATGTAGCCCGCAGGTATCTGAATATATTAATAAATCATCACTACACTAACTCGAGTATGGCGCACGATTTGAATATAATACTAGTACAGATTTTGTAAAGGTCAACAATTATTATTACTCAAAAGCTATAGGAGTAATTAGATATTTATATATTATTATTATATAACTAATTGCAAACACAACATTTTTTTAGCGTAAGTACTAATTTGAGTTTTTACCGTTTCAACATGATGTAATCGAATTTTTTTTGTTATTGTTGTATTAAATAACAAGCAACGATAGGCTTACTACGAACGAGAAATGAAATGGCATTTTACATCTTTTCTTTCTGCACCTAATTGAGCAAATAGAGTGGGGCAACGTCATTCATCGTTCAATGAGGACTATGAGGACCGTGGAATTTACAATCTTGTTTCACTGTGTAGTCAATGGGGCCGCGATGTATTGTCTCATTGCTTGAACTAGACGGTTTCCCATGTCAGACTCTTCTATCTGCATCTCTGACATGGAACAACTGAAAAAATTTCGATTTTAGCTTACAATATCAAGCTTGTAAGAATTTCGTCTTTTACCATGAGTGCAATAACCACCTTTCTTTTTTTAAAGGAATGCAGTGATTTGGTTGGATTGTATACCAGCGAATACAGCCAATCGTAGCCCTCGACAAACAGACTGTAATTATGGCTTATTATTGTGTACCCACTTTCTGATTGACTGTATTCGCTAACGTACAATCTAAACAAATCGCTCCATTTACGAACTTCCGTATTACAAGACAGGGACTATTGCTGTCAAGGTGTAAGACGGAGTTCGTAATAGATTGTTTACTATTGATATAGATAATTTTAAGTGTTGTCCTCTTTGCTTCTAAAAAGGGGAATAGGTCAGACTAGTGGCAGTTTGGCACTAACTATTCCTGAGTCAACCACAAAAATAGTCTAACAGTAGGCCCTATGTACCAGTTCGTTGCATCATAATCATTGGCAACTGATATCATGGCTTCAAAGATAAAAAAAAACAAAAATTACAATATGGTGTATGAGAAAGAATTGAGATTATTTTTATTGCCACTTTGAGATTTGATATTGTTATGATAATGGAGAAAATATTGGCACTGTTTTATATTTACATATCATGTGGTTACTATAAATAAGTAGGTGTGGTCATTTAGTCATTTTAACCACTATAATTGACACAGTAATTTTACCCTTTACCGTACACTATAGTTACACATACAAATGGGTTCTACCTGCAATCATAATAATTATGACCTAAAGGTTCCATCTCATCAGTTTAATTCTAGAATTCTTGAACAAAGCGTCATATTAAGTTAGTAATTTAGATAATGCACGACAAAATCATTTGAAACTATAGATTATAAAAAAGCCAAACGGATGTCTGGGCGAAGGGACGGCCAATAATTCGGTTTTCAATTGTTAGATGATACAGACATCCAAAAGCGTGTAGAAATATTTGAATTTGATTTAGAACAAATGAAGAAGATTTATTCAAATAAAGCTTGGTACAAAACACATAGCATGTAAACGCATTGTAGAAAAATTACCACATTTTACGTTTCATATGCAATATAGGCACATTTATATCTAGTGGATTTTTTTTTTCATATTGGACCCTGTCGACTTCTTCGTGGTCATTGTCAAAATTATAGATTATGATAAAAAAAAAAACAAAACAAAACAAAAAAACATGGAATAAAATCATATCAGTTTAAGAAATCCTTAATAATATTTTCTCTGTCAAGAACGATAAGATTCATTAGTAAATTGTATTATTAATTAAAGGATATTTATTGACTTTTTAGATATAACAAATAATTGCTCTAATAGCTTTAAATGAAAGAATAATTATAGCTTGAGTTTATAGAAGTTGTATACACACTATGTCAACTGTACTAAACAACTAAATATGCCTAATTCTACAATATTCACAGCAAAACATACTTAGCAAAGTATTAGCATTGCAATTTCATATGCCGAAACAAAACTCACCTTCGCTTTTGAATGACCCCTACAATCCAGTAGAGTACAGGAGAAAACGCGCCACTAAACTGTTTATTCGTAGTAAGTCACCATTCAAAGTACACCGGTTTCACCATATACGATATCCATCTTCGACGGCCAGGTTATTCCAATTTCCAAGTTAATGGAATGATCATGCATTGAGAAATGATAAATTGAGGTATTGTCTTTGATATATGCTTCATAATGTAATCATTTAAACAGGAATTTCTTGATTTGAACTAATAATATAGACTTTAAGTTGGAAGTCGGGTCGGGTCGGGTCGACTTTGCAACTGACAGAAACTGGGACAATTGGCGGCATTTAAGACTTTTTGGCCGATCACTTGATACAGAAAACATAAGAGGAAGAAAAACTCAGTTTGTTGTCGCCAGCTGCTCGTGTGCTTAGCGGTCTTTCAGGTGGTGATATAGTCGTCGACTATTTGCGTTGTGAGCAAAGACCTTTGTATAGACGAATACATGAATTACATCAAAATGTATGATTTACCTTGACAAATTTCATCATATATCACTAAATGTACTCGACGGTAGAAACACGGAAAAAATATTTAGTTTTAGCATAATGACGTTATCAATTTCATTCCATTCGTGTTTCAACATTGCTTACAAAGAGTCGTCACCACCGGATAACAATATTGGTTAGGACTTTGTTTTGTGAATATGGGTAAAATGAAACCACCACCTGCTAATAATAAGTTCTATTTACTTCTTCCGAATCTCACGACTTTTACCTTTTACATGGCATCATGCCGTATTCTATAAATAGTTCAAATTACACCCACTACATCAGCCATGGATGATACCGAGTTAGTGCAAATATATCTCATTTCGTTTGGTTAGACCATCAATATCGTATAATGCAGATGCGAAAAAAGAAATTGTCACCGTTATGTCATTTATTGACATCAAAGTAAATGTTATTATATTTGTTAGCAGCATGGTTTTATTTAACACAAACATTTTCAAATTATGAGATTGTTGGGTGTAGTAACTTGTCGTGATACCGGAAAAATTTAACAGAGCTTGTGACAAATTTCGGAATGATTAAAACATGTTTTACACATGTGAGTCATTTAAATAACGTGTTTGTTCTGTTTTTATTTTGATGGGTTTCTTTAGAAACAACGAACCATATGAGGTTGTTTATAACTAAATGAGAAAATTATCCGTAGCAACTACTTTGATGACTCTAAAACATTGAGACAGATGCGATAAAAATTTGCTCACAAAAATGTCTGCAACTTTTTATTAAGACCAACTGATCTTTATAAATAATTAAAGATATACTACTTCTTCGTTTAAATGAATCTTTGTTCATCAGTGGTCTTACCTGGTGTCAAAACTAGAAGCAAGAATGGCATCCTTTTAAATAGATCATTGGGTATATAAAAAAAATTACGCTCAAACTAAAACAAACTTTCATGATTAACAAAATTTGTTGTTCCACAATATCAGATATTGAATTTTTAAATGGAATCAAGCTCAACCATTCAAATCTATCATACATTAAAACATATATTTTACTTTCGAGTATTAATAGCAGAATGTTCTTGGGACAGTGTCAATGATCTATGGACAGACTGGTGACAGAGGTGACAGAAATATTAATAGGAATAATGCTGTAGAAGTTCCACAAAAGTGTACGATTTCTAACTAATAAAAAAATTATAAGAAAATCATTTGTTAGTTATTGTATCCGTCGTGCCTTAATAGGTGTGAAATATGCTTATGTTAGATATAATTTACAGAATCTATTTCTATATTAGAATCAAAGAGTAGATCAGACTGTGAACATAATCATGCATTTCAAATTTTAGATTACTTGATACCTAGAAATTCCAATCGTGATTCCCTTTGGAATTGGATATGAAATCTCAGATAGAAATGTAAGAACGAAGTGTCTGATGAAAGTTTATTATTTATTCAGGTTATGTGTAATACAAACAAATGCTTGAAATATGAGGTTCGGTGTATTTGAAGTATTTGAATACTCAAGACCAAATCCTGCCTAAGTGTCAATCCATAAAGAAAGAAAGAAACGACATTCATCAATCTTATCCAAATTCCGTTGACAAACATTAAATTTTTGGCAGTTCAAAAGTGGCCCGCAACACAGTTTAGAATTAATCATTTTGGTGGAAATAATAGTAACTTCCTAATTTCCATACATTATTGCTCAATAAATTTTTATCGAAGTAAATGTAATAAAAACCACTACGGCCTATTTTAATATTCAAAGTAACTTCATGCCTTTGACTCAATATACAATAACCTTTCTAAAGGTTAGGCTAGCCCAATTCTTAAAATTTAGACCAAATGTTGGACACATATTTTGATATATATAGAGAGCTCGAGTGACCTTTTGATCTATGCATGTTTACACTATAACAGTGATGATAAAAAATACTAGGTAGCAAACCGTTATTAGATATTTATTCTTTATTTTTTATTATTTATTCTATAAAGGGAATCGTAATGACAGATGGCCGCAAAGAAAAGGTGCTTTCTGCAGTGCGGTAATCGCAATCCATAACCATGATATAAGGGATAATTACAAATCAGCATCAGATTTTAAAACTTTTCGAAGAATGATCCTTGACTATCTTTCATAAGTTGAAGAATACATACTAATAGTTATTTTTACTTTAACAGTTATCGTTCAATATCCTGAATGATACGATTGTTTATACTAATTCAATAATTTCTTACTCTTTTTCCACAGATATACCATTGTTTCACTTACAATTCTCTTTTTAGTCTGAACTTGATTAATTTGGAAAAATCAAAAACTCTTAATGTCAGGGGATCTTTAAAGCTGGTCTTGATGGATAAATCCTACCTCATAAGAACGTGAAATGGATTATACCATGGTTGGGATACGGAAGCTCAAATACGACTTGTTTTTGTATTTTTGAATTTCTAATTCGAAAAAATAATTTTGAACTTGAAATTTGAGCTTACGAATGGGTAGCGTTTCTTTTTTCTTTTTTTTCTTCATATGAATATATATGTATTTCGATTACTTTACATCTTGTGGTCAAACACTTGTCCATCTTATGTATGTATTTAGCCCCGAAGTCGTCACAATAAGTCGAAATCGTTAGTCGTATTTTATTCACCAGCGTTGAAAACCTTATTGCTCACTCGCTTTGTAGCTTAGCTTTCTGGAAAGTTTGTGACTTCGGGTTCTATGTGTGGTGGAGGCTGGCGTCTGTAGTTCGCTGGGATTGGCGGCGGAAGATGGCATGCTGTAGTTGATGCTGCAGTGTAGTTGGCGGGCGGTAGGAGCATGGTGCATGAGCTATTGTGTTCCTTGTGCTCTGGCTGATTGTTGATTGCATTGTCGTGCTTCGTTTGTCATTTTTGTCTTGGCGAGTTGTGGATGTCGGCCTTTGCTTTATGTATGCTTGTTGTTGTGTGAGTGTGGGGGCGTTGAGGATGTTGAGAGGAGATTAGTGTATCATTGATGGTGTTCTTCTTTTTTTTTTGCCTACTTATAGTTTTGTTTATATATTGGTTAAATAATGATGGCTTGTACATCTTTTGTGGTTAACTCTCTTGCGAGTCATTTCAGCCCAATTATTGACAAATTTCAAAGTGGTGTAGGTTGCATATGCAAATTATTTTCATTCGCGATCAGAAAGCGTTTGTCGCTTTAGATTGACTATTTTGAAATCAACACAATTGAACTTTGAGACAGGATAATCAAAAATGAAAAATTGCCACTGAAAATTCTCTACAAAAATTAATGACGAGAATGTCTGGTTGTGGAAGCAACGGTTAGCTTAGTATACCATCCGATTATCTGCTTTGTAGCCAACGCGCTGTAATGTCAATATTATTTAGAAAAGTTCATTTAGATTTTTATATGACCAAAAAGTAAACCACATCAATCAATTTCATTAAAGAATAAACTTCAAAAAAGTTCAAAATCGAAAGTTTTTATTTTCAGAAAAAAACCTTTTAACAAAAATAACATTAATGCCATTCTTTCCCATTGATTTAAAGTGTTTTAATAATATTTATAGGGTAATCATAATATGTGTATCATATTATTCATATAATATAACACTACAAAGACATAACATTATACTGCCACATCTTGTAGTGTAGTATTGGCTTCACCCCATTAAATACTAAATCACAATCTTACACAATGAATTATGTAGCTTAATATGTAACGTTGGAGCACTTGTTGTGATGGTCAAGCTACTTTCAGTGCAACCAATATAACGCTAGACAATGCATTAGAAGTGTAACTATGTTGTTCCCAAGCTAGGTAGTTTCCTTTAAAACAAACATCATGATCTGATTATTACATGCAAAGACAGGTTACCCTTTCACATCAGATTACATCGAAATATTATTGTAAAAAAATACTTAATATATAAAATCAAATTTATATAATAAAATATAAACGAGTTCATGCATGATAAATAAGGAACAGCATATAAAATGCAAATGGAATTACAATTACATTTCTTATTAAAGAATTACAGGTCATTTAAAAATATACTAATATATCTCGCCCATCACCATAACACAAACGTACTTGATATTTTCTCTTTGTGTTGAAAATCATAAAATGGAACATGGAGGTCATCCGCCATCTTCAGAAAAATGACCTATATCAACCAATGACCCCATCTTTGCAGTTAGTTAGGTAATGAGATAAAAAGCGAACGATGAAAGTATGAAAAGAACCACATATAGCTTGATCATCGACTGAAATTACGAATATTGCCTACCAAAGGACTGACGTTACCGACAGTATAACCATCAGCAACGAAGAAACAGTGATCTGTGTTATCACCCCACTATTAGTAGAAAAGTGATAACCAGGTGGCATCCTATCACGTGAGTAAATTCTACCAAATAAGGAGGCCGATAATACTGGATTCGACGTCTTCCTCGTGGCTTGAAGAACACCATTATTGTATCTCCAACCAGTTGACCTCAGGGTCAGCTGTCCATCTCTGGTCCTACTCTTTAGAACTTCAGGGTAAACGTAGTTTGTGTCAAATGTTCCATACATTTTCAAATCTGTAAACTGGGTAAACGCCTGTTTTGTTGGCTTACCACAGCTTTGGCGCGTTCGATTTGCACATTTTAACAGCGTACATATTTGAAGGTAATACATGCCTTCATGTGTATGAAGTCCATCAAAAGCACCAAATGCATAGAGTTCATTATTGTTTTTGTAATTGGAATATTCAACATGGCAGCACAATCGATTGTGGCAGACGCTTACACTGCCAGAATTAGATCTCAACTCGACAAAGTTGAATTTATCTTTGAAAAGTTCAGCTTGGAAAGATCTTTGGTTTGAAGGTGGTTTTGGAACTTTGTTATATGCAGTTTGGTGTCTTTTACGATGTCTGATGACATCAAGTTGCGATATGACCAATTTACCACCACCATAGCCCACATCATTATAGTAGAAATTCTTTGGACCATTTGGAGTGTAGATACCAGAGCCATGGAATCGTTTATGCGGTAGGTGAATATTTGCCGACAGAAAGTTGACACCCATACCTTCTGCAAATGCTGAGTGAAACTGTATAGAAGACAACAGAGGAAGGGCATCCATCCATGCTGTTGGGAACACTATGTTAGTAACATTAAATTGCTCAATTAGGGTGATCGCTGGTTCTTTGAATAATATATCAAAACATGTAAAGGTGCCAAACTTCCCGAACGGTGTTTCGAAAGTTGCATAATTGACATCTTTAGGTACATCAAATTGATCTTCATAAAATAGGTTTTGCTTGTGATATCTTGCGATTAGTCTACCATTCGGTGCATAAACTACGTTAGTGTTGAATTGGTATTGACCATCTGACGGACATCTTGGATCGTGTCGTCTGGTGCATCGTTTCTTGTTTCCCATATTAGCTACAATATACATAGAGTTATTCATTGCCATACAACTTAGATAGATCTGAATTTCAGTATCAGCGTATCGCCGTGGTTGAGTACAGGGATTCCAAACCTCTTTTCGTGGATCTGGAATTTCTTCTAAGTAGGGTTTGATAGATTTTCTGTTAAACTTATAACCATACAGACCATCTTCTGGAAATACCAATATATCAACATCCTGGAAAAAATGATAATAAAAATCAAAATGTCGTAATAAGTTGCATTTAACCTAACACTTAGATATTTATTGTGAATCAAAATCTATATTTTTTGTGTGAAAAGCAGTCTATGTCCTGGTCCTTGTTGGATTGTACCATCTTGCTCCGTATATGGGCAGTTCATGTACGTTACCAGTCAGTCGGCAAGGGGCTTTCGACAGCAAGCTATCTCTTGAGAGGGGGAAGCAATGAAGATGATGTACGGGTACAGAGAATAATTAGGAGACGAAAGAAAACACCGCCACTTCGTGTCCTTTATTAGTTTATTGTCACACTTAGCCCCGATTAGTAGCAGCAAAATAGTTTTATGCATATAGTAACCTATAATTCTCAAGAAGCGTAAAAAAAAACCCTAACCTGTGAAGCGGCAAACTTTGCTTGTTGATCGTAGATTTTTAGATTCACCATAACGTCTGCCAGGGCGTGATATCTCGAAGCTACACTAGTTCTATTTGGTGGGATGATCAAGGAATGTTCATATACAGCAGCTTTGAATTTGTTTCTCGAGTAGCACTCAATATTACAAGCTAACGAAAGAAATCCCAATACAACAAAAAGTAAAACTGTTCGATCCATATTGAATCTGAAAAACACAAAGAAATTTGTGAAACGGAGGTGCAGGTAGAGTAAAGTTAAATTATTCAGGGACATATATTTTGTGGAATATCTGCCTCTTAGTTCCGTTAATAGATTATCATGCCCACATTTCTGGTCTTTGTGTTTACCTATGTTTGCATAAAAATCGACTACAAATAATTTGGCCAACACATTGATAAAAATTAGCATAAGAAATGCAGTGAATGACATCACTACACTAGCTCGAATTAAAGTTATGAAAACATGTTACAATTCAAATCATGTAATAATATTAATTCAATTAGTCAACGGAAGAGATATTTAAATATTTATTCACCCACAGAAGTATATAGGTCTAAAATATGCATAAAATAAACATTACCATTTAATCTCGATTACTTATACTTTTAACCTTGATTAATTTTAAATAGTTTATCAGTTGACATCCTGTTTAAGACATTAATCTAGGTTGCTGTTTATCTTCATTGTGGTAAATGATAAACTGTCTAATTTGTTGCTGATATACCGTTGTACATGTTACAGAACAATGCTATTTGAATGTTTTCTTTATTTGCAAACACTCCTTATGACATGACCACGTGAAGGTTAAATTTTGAAAATTGTCATTCGCCTACACTTATTATATTATAGGCAGGGAAAATTCGAAAGTTAGATACTAAGAAATGCCTTTTATATCATACGATGTATTGTTTTATTAAACGGCTAAGTGCTCCAATGTCTTAAGATGAACACAAACGGGGGCTGGTGGATATGCATAAAGTTAACCCCCCCCCCCCCCTCCCAAAAAACAGTTGTTCAAAAACTGAACTACAGGTTTTTGGTGAAGGCTCAACCACATTATTTGTGGAGATCGAATATGTTTATGAGTTCCTAAAACGATATTTTAACATATGTAAAGGTATATTGCAGTAAACCCAATTTTATTTCAACTTTTCTTGGTGTTTATGTCATTTATATTAAGATGCAAAAAGCAATAGACGTTTCAGCATGTTTCGATACATTTGTTTGAGAGATAAGTGCCTATTTCAACTTCTTTCACTCTGAAAGGTCCCGAATAAGAATAAATATATCAAAAAGTCGTACAGATAACAGATTGTCTCACAACAATTTCAATTCATTTTAAAAATGTTATTGAATAAAGAGAGATTGAGATTTTACCATCAATGGTTAAACCTCATAAAGTTTTACTGAATATGAAACGGAATTATCACATTAAAGAGTTGTTTTATTTCGACACTATCACCCTCTCATTTGTGACTTGTTTCTCAAAACCACCGGCCATTTCATCTTATGATTAACTATAGTATAGGCCTATCTACCAACGGATCTTGAAGTGCAAAGTTAAGTTTCCTAGCAGAATTTAATATTGAGAAGTTTCTCAATTCATCATCTGGACAAAAAAAAAATTGTAATGATTTATTGAAGTCAAATCTGTAACCAGGCTTATCCATTAATATTGAGATATAATTTATCAACTCACCTTAGGATTGTATGGAGCTCCACTGCTGAAAAATATAGACCAAAGACCACCACACACCGTTAGACAGCACCGACTCTCGTCCTTGATCCCCAATTCACCAACTGGTCTTGAAATCGTGAACCACCATCATTTGATACTGTATTTAAATTGAACGTCATCTTAACATCCGCTGAGAAAATAAACTGTTATAAGATAAACAAGTGACAAAATCTCACTCATTTCCAGATCATATCATTTTAACATACCACTTTGTTTATCTGCAAACAAAGTCCCCCTTATATTACTCTCAGTCGGTTGAAACGAAAGACGTTAAGCAAGAAAAAGGATTTGAAAAAATTCATCAAATTCCAAATTTTTGCATTAAATATTGTAAAGAATAAATAGTTTCCACACTCCAGTATAATCTAAATATATGTTAGACGGAAAATTAGGATGATAAATTAGTAATCTTTGCAAACAGTTTTGTGTATTTTCTTGAATTAAACCAACTCTGTGAGAAATTTCAGATGTAAAGATGGCTCTAGTGAGATGGCACTCCATCTAAATCTGTCAGCAACCCGTTACGTAAATTCTGAAATAATTTTTTCCTTAAAAAAAATTAACGACTGACCTTTTTTAGTTCCAATATTCAGATACGGACACATTTCACTAGACTTTGGTGTATTGTTTTCACAAAATTGATTTTATTTTTAGACCTTAAAAAAGCGGAATGTCCCTTTAAGATACACAGTTTTTAACTTTGATACAAATATTGTCGGACCGTTCTATCCAAAAGGTCACATTATCGTTAGCAGTACCTGTTTATATATTACCAAGTTGTGAGCCATATCGGTTCACTGGAATTGTATTTATGCATGGGCATGAGGCCTGTTTGAGTGACTAAACCCAGACGCTTAATTTTCAGTTTTATTTGAATTTATTTTCAGTGCAATACATCTTAAAAATATCAAGTATGTACACAAAAACGATCACGAATACTCAGTTTCTACATATTTCAGAAAACAATTTTTTTCTCCTCGTAGCTTACATTCGATTATTTATTACATTTAGATTATTAGTTAGGACATATATATAGATTTTGTATTTATTATCAATTGATTATCAGCTGAGGTCGTCGTGGTAAAATTCTTCCAAACTCTTAATTCTTGTGTTTATCATATTAGAATATTTTATTTTATAATGTTTAAATGTTTGTTTTAAAAGGCTATCGGGGTCTCTCAATCTATGATAATGTTTCTAAATAATCTTTGTCAATATTTGGTTTGAGAGTTTTATGATTACAGTTCAAGATTAAAGCTATAAACTTCTTGCTTGGGGTGGCGAATCAAATCCGTTTTATTCAAAAGGACATGGTCAATGTTGTTTTTATATAGCCAATTTCTCCAATTACCTTGACATATCGCATCGCATTATCGGTTGAGCACTGTTTATGTGTGGTGAGAATAAATTATCGTTCAAGACTTAATATACTATCAAAAGGTGGCTCATAATAAACACAGTTGAACGCTCACGTTGAAAGATTCTCTCCGCATATTTTCTTCTGTCCAGTCTCTTACAGATTCTCTGCGGATAGATATGTTCCTCTCTTAAGATTCTCTGCGGATAGATATGTTCTTCTCTTAAGATTCTCTGCGGATAGATATGTTCTTCTCTTAGAGATTCTCTCCAGACAGATATATTATTCTCTTACAGATTATCCCAAGTCTTTTACATATTCTTTGCAGTCTCTTATAGATTCTCTCAGATAGATATGCTATTCTCTTACAGATTATCCCAAGTCTCTTACATATTCTCTTCAATCTCTTATAGATTCTCTCAGATAGATATGCTATTCTCTTACAGATTATCCCGAGTCTCTTACATATTCTCTTCAATCTCTTATAGATTCTCTCAGACAGATATATTATTCTCTTACAGATTATCCCAAGTCTCTTACATATTCTCTTCAATCTCTTATAGATTCTCTCAGATGGATATGCTCTTCTCTCGCAGATTCTCTACAGATAGATAATATGTTCTCCCTGCAGATTCTCCCCAGTTTCTTACAGATCCTCTACAGCTCCGCAGTGTCTCTCCGGATAGATATGTTCTCTTACATATTCTATTCAGTCTCTTACAGGTTATTTCCAGATAGATGTGCCCTTCTGTCACAGTGGCTCTGTTTAGATACGTTTCTTTTTCTTCTCAGAGAGACTATGTTCTTCTCTTAAAGATTCGTTCCAGATGTTTTCTTTTTATATTTGCTGTTCTTAGAGATGTTCTTTCCTCTATTACAGGAAGTCTCTTTAATCCCCTATAACATTTTGATACTAATCATCTGCATAAATTAACCATGTGTATAATTCGCTTGAACATTTGGTGAGATTTACAAACATGAAAACTATCAATGCTTTATCTAAGATAAATGTTAATTTTTACGCATTTTTTAAATTTTGTTTTATATTTGAAGCTACACTAGTCCCATTTTAGACTTTGCAGGGAAGTGCACAATCGTTGGAACATGGCATGAATTAAACAAAGAGAAACAATGTAAAAATCAATGTACGAGAGAGAATTAAAGATAATGTAATTAAATTGTGTGTTGACAAATAACGTCTTGTTACTAGCTATCTTACAATAATCACTTAACACATCATTGACTTTATTGATGTTTCCTTCCACATAATTTACTATTTAAACGGTGGAACATATCCAGTTTTATTAGTGATAGTAAATCACTGTGCTGTATCATTTTTAAGTTTGATTAAAGAGGAGAGGAATATAAATGAACTTTTGAAAAAGATGTAGCCAACTTAAGAAAATCTCGTGCATTTTACTTTTAGTTTTGACCAAAAACTGGTGTGCAAGCATAATCCTATAAACACTTATTGATTCCGCTTTCGGTATTTATATTTTCTGGTTTTGAGATTGGAATGGAGAGAAAATAAATCGAGCAGAATGCAAGATAACAGAATAACATTAGGGATATTCCTTTTTGGATTTGGACTTTTACTCAATTTCTATACAGTTACATGTAAGTTACCACCTTTTCTTCTTGGGCTTCATTGGGCTTTATAATCAATGTCAATTCAACATACTCGTTATTCTACTTAACTCAAAGTAACAGTATACGAAGCGGTGCAGGTCGCTGTGATGTATAACAAACGATTCAAATGTTACCACATTTCAAATTTCTTATATCGTACCGTTTTGGAAAAAAATCATTTATGTTCAACATGACACATAATGAATTTTTTGTACAGCATGGTCTAAATAAAAAAAAAGTTATACATTAGTTCATAAAGACACCATTGGAATTTCTGATAGCTGTCATTAAAAGTCAAGCTATCTCTTCCTATCTAGTTGTCACACTGCAAGAAGACGGAGTTGGGTATAGGCTAATACGTTCGAGAATGGGTGCTCTAAAATCGTTGTAATATATTGTCAGTGTGTACAGATGGTGCAGCAAATGTTTATTATTAAACCTGATATTAGTAGGCCTTTCATTGGTTTTTCCAAAGTTGAGATTAAATTGTTACATAGCTATCATTTATAAAATGTAGATATTATTGTTGAAATAGGTATGACATGGAATGTAGCTAGAGGAAAACCTGCATATCCATCATCAGGGATTAATGCTATTAACGCTGTTGATGGGGATCCCTCTACGTGTTTTCGCACTAAAGATGATGGATCTGATTCAGAAGTAACTTTAACCATCGACCTAAAACAGATATACAAGATATATGGTATAGCAATAACAACAAGTAACCTTGGTACGTTATTATTATATATTATAGTCAACCCTTTTTTCAATATATCACGTTGCACAATCATTAAGTTCGTCAAGTATGCCGCCAAACAAAAATTAGATAATGTATTTTTTTTAATCAGCTAATCTTAAAGAATAACAAGATTAAAATAAAATCGTCTTCCAAAAGCACGTTTAAAAAGATAATGGGCGCTACAAATGCAAGAGATTTTTTATGATTCTGTTAGTATTTTAAGATAGTAAAGTGGTTTTCTTTATTTATTAATGTGTATCGGGTACCCTGAAGCATGAATTTGCACCATTTCAATTTTCAATCAGTCTGTTATCGCAGTATAATGTTTGATTACATCACAAATCGCCAAGTCCTTACAAGCATATTTTGTGATTAGTAACGTCATAAAACACCTAGCTTTAGTGGAATTGCAGGAACCACAAACCTCGGATTGAAAATTGGAATAGTGCAAATTGATGCTATCAGTGTCCTCGATAAACAAACAAAATTTAGAAAACATCTTGAAATATTCCTTTCAATAAAGTTTGAACTATATTTCTATTTATTCATGTATGAATTGTACATTAGATACCGGGAATATTACTATAGAGCCTATAAATATTTTTTCAATGGTTTACATATTTAGGTTTACCTGGAGAATTTAAAAATTTTCAATTACAAATGCTTAACCTTCCGGGTAACAGCCGACCAATGTGTTACAGAGAAAATACCACTGTTCCAGATTCAACCCATGTTCTTTATATTTGTGATCTAGATGCAATCGGCAACATGCTCTATATAAACCCAATGAACTCATCGAACCGTGGCATTCTTACTGTATGTGAAGTAGAAGTACTAGCTAGACCGGTGGAATTTGGATTAATGTGTCGAGAATCAGGTTTCTCATTCAATGAAACTCCTACACATGAAACTTCGCTCATGTTATCGGCTGTAGGATGCGCAGTGATGTGCAAACAAATCGGATGTGATGCTTACATTAGTAAAAACGAAAATGCTGTAAATGTTTGTATGTTGTACTCTGGACGGAAATTCGTTTTAAATGGTAATGTTAACTCGAATTTTTACTTGAATTGTTGAGATCTGTTTCGTTTCCTTGATTATGTTATAGGAACTATCATTCTTAAATGAACTTTTATAGAAATAAAATATATCATATCTGATATGTCGCAGAGCTCCTAGCATGGGTATTTGATGATTTTTTAATTTACTTAATCCATATTATATTGATTGCAAATAAACTGAGTATTTTCAGCTTTGGAATGAAAAGGTCAATGCGTTTTTATACGCCCACATGAATATTGTCGTCGCCCCTGTCCGTCGGTCCATCCGTCCGTCAACATTTCTTGTGAGCACTATAGAGACTTTAGTTTTTATCTGATTTTGATAAAACTTAATGGGATGCTTTAGATTGATAAGATCTCGGTCAAGTTCGAATTTGACATATTTTCGATGAACGGTTTTTGAGATATTGCCTCTGACTTAGAACGCCTTGAAATTTGTTAAAAATAGTTCGTGAGCAGGATTGAAGCTACAGTTTTCAACTGATTCTGATGAAACTTGGTGTGATCATTGGAATTGATAAGATCTCGGACAAGTTCTAACTTGACGCATTTTCGATGAACGGTTTTTGAGTTATTGCTCTTGAATTTGTTAAAATGCGTCGAAATTTGCTAAAAATAGTTTGTGAGCAGGATTGGCGCTACAGTTTTCAACCGATTCTGATGAAACTTGGTGTGATCATTGGAATTGATAAGATCTCGGACAAGTTCTAACTTGATGCAATTTTGATAAACTGTTTTCGAGTTATTGCCCTTGACTTTGTAAAAACGCGTCAAAATTTGTTCATGAGCACAATAGAAGCTACAGTTTTCAACCGATTCTGATGAAACTTGGTGTGATCATTGAAATTGATAAGATCTCGGACAAGTTCTAACTTGACGCATTTTCGATGAAATGTTTTTGAGTTAATGCCATTAACTTACGAAAAACGCGTTAAAATTTGTTTGTGAGCACAATATAAGCTACAGTTTTCAAACGATTCTAATGAAACTTGGTGTGATCATTGAAATTGATAAGATCTCGGGTAAGTTCTAACTTGAGGTATTTTCGATGAACGCTTTCGGGGTTATTGCCCTTGACTTTGTGAAACGCTTCAAAATTTGTTTGTGAGCGCAATAGAAGCTACAGTTTTCAACAGATTTTGAGGAAACTTGGTGTGATCAATGGAATTGATAAGATCTCGGAGAAGTTCTAACTTGACGCATTTTCGATGAACGGTTTTTGAGTTATTGCCCTTGATTTATGAAAAACGCGTCAAAACTTCTTTGTGAGCACAGTTGTGAGAAGCTACAGTTTTCAATCGATTTTGATGAAACTTGCAGGTGTGATCATTGGAATTGATAAGATCTCGGACAAGTTCTTACTTGATATATTTTTGATGAACGTTTATTGAGTCATTGCCCTTAACTTTGTAAACACGCGTCAATAGTTGTTTTTTGCCCTTGATTAGAGCTGTGTGATTTAATTGTTTGTTGTATTTGGGTTATTGATATTGATTTTTAAAAATTTTGTAGAATTACTCAGCATAAATAACTGGCATATATATATATATGTAATTGAATTCAAACTTTAGTCACTAAAGACTCTTTTATCATTTCTGACTGCTGCCAGTGGGCGTATGTTACCTTGCCTCGCAAGCTATCTTCAATTTTGAAAAGCTGAAAACTTCGAAAACAGTGAGACATGTGAATAGACGTTGTCACCAGCAATGCAGGGACAACTTTACAGGAGATCTTTTTTTATCACAGAAAAATTTATTAATATATTTGTCACGTTCACAATAAACACCTCAAAAAAAAATTTTCAAGAAGGCATACCACATAGCTTTTCGTTGACTTTTTTCAGGTGCTATTATAGGCCTACCATAAAAACTCATGGCAATATGTAAAAAGGAAGTTTTCGGGTAAGATGGGATTTGACAGAAGTCATTATGGATTAGGAATTGTCCTCTTGTAACAGTTCAACGTTTTCTTCCCTCAATTTTTTACATTTCTTGTTAGCATATTTTGGTTTGGTGCACATAATCAAAAAGAAGTAGATCATGCAGCCTGAAAATAGACAGATACATGATATATTTTTTGAAAATTACTTGAAATGAATGTTATTAAATACATCTTACCAGCAATAAATATATATGTCAATAAAATAAAATAAATGAACTGATTGAGAAGAAGACTCTAGTTATTGGCGTCGTATAATGGAGGATGACATCCATCTATTCTTATACAGCTATGGTGCTTAAAAATTAGAGCACCCCCGCCACAGCATCAATTAAAAAAATATGGACATGTATGTATTCATACTCTCTGAATATTTAATATTTTGTGTGACCTGTATTCTTGAGGGATATGATTTCAGCAAATCGCAAAAACTCCTTTTTACTGAGCACTCCGGCCCCCCTCTTCATTGGGGAGCCGCGGTGGCTCACTAAGTTAGACGCTTGCTCGCTAAATTGAAGGTCCAGGGTTCAATCCCGGCATAGGTCGAGATAATACCTTCGGATTTTTCAACCCGGTTTCCCTCTGTCAGTGATGCAGGTAAGAGGGGCTAACATGGAAAAAGCGTCTAGTCGTTCGGATGGGACAATAAACCGAGGCCCCGTGTGCTACAGGCTGTGCATGTTAAAGATCCCTCGACAGTTGGAAATCGAAAAAGAGCAGGCTAATGCCGCTGTCCTGACAAAATTTCTCTCATCGCACAATACATGGCGTTGCCCGTCTTCATTAGCCCACATGGTGCAGAAAGGTAGGACGTAAAACTCCATTCATTTCATTTCATTTTCCCCCTCTTCATTGGCTATTGAGACATTGTTCGTTTTATTTCAAAGTATTTCTTTAATGTGTGTTAAGGTTTGTGTTGAAGAAAGCACAGTGAACAACCAAATCGAAACAACTTGCGAAGAGAGTTGACCAAATTGCTCCGGATAAAAAGGATTTGCTGAAATCATATTCTTGAAGAATTTAGGAACTGGTAAAGGCAGTGGAGACCAAACAAAATATAAAATATTAAGAGAAAAACTTTTAATACCTATCAACTTTTTTTTTATCCAAATCTATTTGAGTCCGTGCTATGGATGAGGGGTTCTAATGTCGAAACGCATCTTATATATAAATTCATTATCAAAGCTTTTCATATTTCAAGGGAGGTTAGTCATATTAAAATGAAAAGAGAGGAATAAAATAATGGTTTTGGTTTTTTTTCCCCAACTAGAAATGCAAGTTTTACTTTCTACTTTTCTGTACCTGATTTGGTTTATAACGACAGACGACAACACCATGTTATGTACAATAAAGGAGTGAGTACAGCAACATTGGCTTACTTAAAATTTCCAACTTCCTGGGGACCCTGCACAACCCGTGACAATAAGTTCAAGGTTAATCGTCACATTCGGAGGCCTAGGTGTGCCAATAACCGGGGATACCTTGGAACTTAGTTAGTTAGCCATAAATGTAAAAGAGAGCTTGCCTAACACAACCAATATCAGGAATGTTGTTAAGCCGCTGGTATCACTCGAGTAAAGTAAAAATAATATATTAAATACTATACACAATACTGGAAGGAATGGTACAAAGGGCACCTGCAATAGAAAATATAGCATGCGTTGTTAAAGAATCGCTTAAACCTTGAACATTTCAAAATAACATTTCAATGTGCGCGAAAAAAAACGAGATTATCATTAGCAATCCATGTGACAAAAGCATGTCGAGATCTTTTTGCTGTCCAAATTAGGCATCGTGGATGACATGAATTTCGAAATAATCCATGTTGGTATAATTACTTCAGTTTATTTTGGAGGCAGATAAGTGAATATCATAGCTAATAGCATTTTCAGTTCTAACAGATTAGGTCAATCATTCCATAGATTGTGGTTTAAGGATCGGATTTAAGCTCGACAGAGATCACTTTTATCTGATACGTTTAGGTAAGTACTCACCTGGAAGCCAGTAAAAGAACTGGGTTTCATTTTGATTTTGAGCATTACGGATGAAACTATAATACACAATACACATAAGATACAGATCACTAAGGCAGGAATGTCAGGTTTCTGGTCAAACACAGGTCTCCATATGATTAAAGATGACATAACTATTGATAATATCACAATGAATAACACAATAAACTCGGAACGTATTCGATATAAGTATCCTCGTTGCTTCTCTTGTTGACATTTTTTCTCCGATGGATCTGATAAGGAATTGTCATGGGATCTCAAAACAAGTACTCCGACACTTAAAATAGTATTAATGGAAAACATAGCTAATACATTAAATTGCACCAGCTTACTGAGATCAAAAATAAGGGATGATATTGAGATTAAGGATCCTGCTATCAATATAGCAGTGAGTGGAACTTGAGATCTGCGATTTACTCGTCCACAAAACGTTAATAAGAGGCCATCATTAGACATACAGTAAATGTGTCGTGAAGTTGAGTAAAGGTTCAGTAGACTGAGATTACCAATTCCCAACACTGGTCCAATAGTCACCACATATTTTGCCCATATAATGCCTCTAATTTCAAACGCTGATGGAATGGGTGCACGAGTATCAATCAGATAATATGGTGTCAACATCATTAGTGAAAATGAAGCTCCAGCATATAGGAGTGTTACTATTATTAGCTCGATCAAAATCGCTCTTGGAATGGACTTGGCTGGTGTCTTCGATTCTTCGGCAGACATACATATCACATCATATCCATTATAGGCATAAAAACAAGACGATGTTGCCACCACTACGCCTGTGAATCCAAAGGGAAAGAATCCACCATGGTCTTTATTGACAACATTACTAATATCACCAAGAACTAATCCCATTACAGTCACAAATAACAAGACCCCAACACTTATCATAGATAAAACAGCGTTCACTGTCGAAGATGTATGAATTCCCAAAGCTACTATAACCATAGCCACGATCTCTAGTAAACTTGCCACAATGTCTACGTGGTCGCTCAGAGGTGGTCCAACATTTATAGTTCCAAAGAGTTCTCTGGTTAAGTTGTGTACTGCACCATCAAACAAAGAGTCAAAGTACCCACTCCATGCTCTGCAACCTACAGCTCCGCTTGTAAAATAACCTACCAAAGGCAAAAAATTACGTGATATACAATCGTAAAGAAAAGAAACAGATCTAATTCTCTATTTTTACATATGATTGGTTTATAGAAAAAAGATACCTTTCTTGGCAATGTAATGGCAGCTGCAGTTAGAGATGATTCCGTCAAGAGCAATTACTATAGTCAAATTTGATGTTCTGAAGAACCTATAATTCCAAGCTAATCATCTACACTAACTCGAGATTTTAAGGGGGTAGGGTAAATAAACAAATTTGTTGGAGAATTGTGTTCTTTCTTACCTAGTAATATTAACCAACCAACAATAAAAGCCAGGCCTTCACACAGACTTTCGTAAACATAGGTATAACTAGCTCCAGTCGTAGGAATTCGAGCTCCAAACTCAGCAAATATCACAGCATTGATCATTGTCAACAGAGCAGCTAGCATGAAGGAAATAAGTAGACCGGGACCTACAAAATGGCGAATAATATTTTCATGATTTATCACAATAAAGGTTTTGAGGGTTTTTTTAACCACACACAAGAGACTGACATCCGTTGGGACCATAAAAGGTTTATAGCAAGACTGCCACATAACAACAAACTTTATATTGAATAAAAAGCGACTAACCTGCAGTGTCTTTAGCAGCTACGCCTACCAGAACATATATTCCTACTCCAACTGTGGCACCAACACCCATAAACGTGAGATGAACTGTAGTGAGATAACGGTTGAGAACTGTTGTTGTATCATGACTTTCTATTATCTTTCTTCTGGATATCCTATCCCATATTCCACGTACACAGCACGACCCTGCTTCTCGTCCACGTATCATTTTATCGTCTCGTTTACCCAGTAGTTAAAACGTCAAGGTTTATCTAATGCTTTACAACATCATTTTGTCTAAATAAAAATTAAACAAAAATATACATGAATTCAATCAATAGAATAGTAAATTGTTTCTGAAACAGTGCATAGTGTATATAAATTGAGTATGAATTAAAACATTACATTGAATGGCATGCTATCTTTGTCAAGCGAGGAATTTTAATTGTGTGTTATGTACAGTCAAGTAACCTAATTTCGTGGAAACCTATTATTCGTGGATTTTCGGAAATGATTAATAATTTACATGAGCGACCTTGATCGACCTCCGCATTAGTTTATTTTAATAAAAATGGGTTTTCTGTACAATGTCAGTTAGTAGAATGAATCCAGTAATTTCAAGCAAGGTAAAATGTATTAATGTATACTTTGACAAATACAAAATGGCGGATTTCACTTATCACCAAACGTCACCATTTTTTATCGGCCGAATTTCATTATAATCCCGAGTGATAATCGGAATTCCAAGTGCCGTCTGCTAGAATATAATCCAACGAATGAAGTCACGTGATCAACTAACGGATTCCGTGTCAGCAGAAAATTTCTATGGAACACAAAGTGGACCATATTCTTATGTTGTTTCAGTGAATTTTAGCAATAAATCACGCTACGTATCATATTTTGTCAGTCACTATTTTTTTTTTTAAATCGTGGTTCTTTGAAGGAATTGTCACTAGTTATAATGAATTGATATTAAAGATAAATACTAAGAGAAGTTAATTATACCACCCGGTATCCATACAACGTGTTTTTCTAGACTTGTTTATAGATCAAACATTGTACACGAAAATAGGTGACGCATTCTGCAGCAGTTCCCGAGTTGGTTGCTCATGAAATATGGGTCAAACTGAAGGATTTATTAAGAAAATCGAAATAAACCAATTTCTATTATTTTGTAGAATACCTGAGGAAACATCTAAGACATAAAATTTTTTTTTCGTTTTTTTAACTTTGACGAAATTCGGTGTTGAATCCTTATATCCACGAAAATAGGTTACACCACTGTATAAAATAAATGCTTTAAAGAACGCTAAAATGTTAAAAAATTTTGAACCTAATCTTAGAATTCTTGGTTTAATTTGAGTATAGCAATAGTTTGCAGCGCTGCCGAATACGTCCCGTCGCAGGTAGGCCTATCAGACAGCAGGAAAATGTCGAACATAAATTTCATGTTTAAGTAACAGAGAATTGTGCTTTACATAATAGTCAGAATACATTTTCCCACAAACACAAGCTATATCTCTCATGGATAATTCGGGACAGATCAATGCCAAGAGGTTTTACCAAGGACCAGCCGGTAGAAAAGGATCCTTAACTGTGAACCCTTATTAATAGCCTAATCTGATAGATAGGATAATCATGTTTCATATTTATACATATTATGTTAGCTATATAACCTCGCCTTTTGTCAGTCAGGTTCCCCTTGCTGGTTGGACGGTCTGACATGGAAAAGGCGTCTAGTAGTTTGAATAGGACAATAAACCAAGGCCCTGTGCGATACAGCCTTTGTACTTTAACGTACCCTCAATAGTAAGAAATAAGAGTGGGCTGATGCCGCTGTCTTGGCGAAATTTACCTCACTGCGCACTCTATGCTTGCTCGTCTTCATTAACCCATTAAGGTACGTAATACTAAAACACTACTTCACTTCAGTTCATTTTATTCAACAATTTTAGATAATACCACAGCACTTCAATATATAACTTGTAACGTAACGTAAGCTGTAAAGTGTTGCCTCTCATCTCACCTCATTAGCTCTTTTCCTTTTACGGTTGATGTCTATCAGTAAACTATAGCCGATAATCAAAATTAACAATCAGTGTGAGGTAAAGACACATCTGGTATTGATACATATTAAAGTAATTACAATCATATGAAATTCCATGGTCTACTCATTACAAAATGTCAAATGTGTGAGAGCACATAACGCAAATCTGGTCTTAAGAACTATTTTGAGCGCAAATATTTACACAAATTGACAATGTGCATGAACAATAGCCTAACAATGTGGCCTTATTTCAATATCACAATCACAAAAACAACTTGCTATCCATCCTCCTCTTCTCCAGTATTCTTTGACATTGAAGCTATAAGTTTTGATGTGTCCCATTTTGGTTTTGGCTCCCGTTTAGGTATGTACTTCTTCCTTTTGACCTTCAAAAGAAGAAATGCTGGCTCAAGAGATTTTTCCATGAAGCTGGGAGTAGTAACATCCTGTACAATAATGACATACTCTTCATTCTTAGGACCTTTGGGTGGAATAGCGGCTTTGGCCTTCCTTGAACCGGGCTTTACATTTTTGGGTTGATTCGGTATGTCCCCTTTAAATGCTGAATAAAAAGGGGGTGGGGGAGCTAATGTGACTTCATTCCATTCACAGCAGCCCTCAAAACTTCTTTTACTTTCTGGTTGCGGAAGTGGCTTCCATTCAATCTGGTCATTTATATCATCAGTGTCTTTTGAATTGGGATCGTTAGGAGTAGACGGTTTGCTTCCGGTTTTCATTTCATTTTCAGGATTATCAATATTGCTCTCAAAGGTATTAGGTTTGTCTTTCACAGCTTCAGTTGCTTCTTGTTTTTGACTGGAGTCAGTATCTGCATTATTCATTACACTATTCGAGTCATTTTCCTCTGCTGCCTTGGATTCTGTAGCTCTTCGAAGTTCTTCAGCTTCCATGGCCTCGGCCTCTGCTTGCGCCTTTAGTCTTTCCTCTTCTTCCAGTAAAACACTGTAGTAGGTAAGTGGAAATGGCACAACGTCATATCCAAACGGTGTTTCGATTGGTTTGTCAGCGACGTCTTCGATCATATCAAATAACGAAGAACCAGGCTGGGGTTTAGTATATTTGAAACCAGCCATTAGCTGTAGTTCTCTGCCTGTGTCTTTTTCAATGACTTCGCCCTTTTCATTACGACACTCTACTTTTACAGAGAAATTGTCACCGTGGTTGATTTCCAGTTCATTAGTTTCAACAAGTATGGTTATCTTAGTGGCCATTGATGTTGGGAAACCATTGAACCATTCGCCCTCATATATAAAACCCGAGCAATGCTCGATACGACCGTCTCCTTCATATTGATCACTCTTCCAATGTCCAGAATATATTGTTCCATCAGCACCACGGAATTCTCCATACCCTTCACGTTTATCTAAAACCCATCCTCCACGATACCAATCACCATTTTCATACGTTTGTGTTCCTTCGCCGTGTCGCATATTTCCAAAAAATGCTCCCTCATAAACGGCCTTTTCTGATGTCTTCAAAGTTCCATGACCTTGTCGCTTATTGAATACCCACTGTCCATCAAATTGACTTCCATCTTTATACTGCATAACACCATGTCCATGTAATTCACCTTTTTGAAATTGTCCAGAATATTTAGCGCCACTAGTTACAAAATACTTGAACCCATCACCATCGATTTCACCATTTTTAAATTGTCCTTCGACGTAACTTCCATCTTTCATAACCAGACGACCTTGACCGTGTTTTTTACCATTGTGCCATTCTCCTTCATATTTGAAAAAATGATTTTCGTAATTATACACACCGAAGCCTTCTCGTTTCAGGTTTCTAACTTCGCCGATATATGTCCGTTCTTTAGTTTGTGCTGAAGTGTCCATTTTCTTTCTTTCTTTCGATCCTTCCTTCAACAAGATTCTTCAATACTAATCCAATAAGAATAGACTTCAAGCTATCCTTGATAAATATTCTATTCTCGTACTGAATTAGATTTATGAGTTAAGGATCCTGTAGAACTACTTTCGAAACAAAAGGTTATCCAATAAGAGTGTGTAGACCACTGACAAAGGCATCAAAGTTTACAAGGCTGAAGGATATGTTCACACAGTGGTATGAATATATCTACAGAAAACCTTCACACATTGATCTTGATTAATAAATACAATATCTAGCAATATGACAGTTTCCAATTTCAATATCTCCACACAGTAGGCCCAGTTGCAATTTAAAAACTAATATATCTCTCATTAATACTTTGGCATCAGATAACATGTATATTACCACTTTGGAAACCTTTCTTTTCCTCGCCACTTCAGATGTCATAGAATACCTTCGCTTCACATTTTCTTCTAAGGCTAATATTGTCTTCCTTTATCCAAACACATAATTCTCTTATACCCTTGATATTATACTTCACACACGGTAGTTATTGACTTATTCAATGGTATGGTGGTTGATAAGGGGTCAAACAAATACCCTAATCTACAATAATATCCACCAATCATTTACGTCCGTTCAAAGGGTGAATTGTTTTGTACGGTATGATAGATAACGTTATATACATTTAAGTATTAACAACTTAATGTCATAGTTCGAGACTACAATAGAATTAGGATTAATCAAGTCCTATTATTGATATGCAGTTAATGCATTAAGCAGCTTAATTTAAACACAACAACGGTCATTACAATTTTTTTGCATGGCATTTTCGCACCCAATTTATTATTTTACTTGAATTTTTGCTGAAAATAATAATGGTAGGTAAGCACTTACTGCACAGATGTTACAACCGACGAACATCAAATATACATTTAAATTTGGTTCAAAACAGTGTGGGGTCTATTGCGTACAAAAGGTATTTTAAATGGCAATAATTTAAGTCGGTTGCATCTTGAGGGTATCTCAATCCCAGATATAGAAAGGTGCCAACTCACAGTACTAACGATCGATCGCTCGCTATACACCCATATAACTGACATTTCACGACAGCTTTAAACCCATCTTCAATGTAAACAAACTGCGTCTAATACCTTGACTACAATAGCCACCTTTCTTGTTTTACAGAAGTTTATAAATGCATATATTTGATCATTCGGGAATCCTAGGCAGTTTCCGTTAATGATTGGATTTTACGCTACAGAATACAGCCAAAGACATATTGAAATAATGCATTCTGGTTGACATTTGTTTGAAAAATTTTGTCCTATATTTCTCGAGTGTAATTATGGGCTTCATTTATATTCTAGACACTCAAGAGTTTGTTAAGCATCGGGGGTGAAAAGGCTAGCTAGAGATTCCACAATGTCTAAAGCTATGCTTCTCAACCTTTTTAACCCTGTTCACCCCACCTCTGCACTACCAGAAGACACTGACCCTTTTCAATAATCAAGTAAATAATTTTATTCATATTTATTGAATATCACGTTTTATTACGAAAAATAATCAATACTGATATGGTCAGATTTTGCTAGTTCTTAGTTTGAGCCATGAGCTTGCTATTCACGAATCAACGATTTAATGTCTGGTCAGCTTCAGACGCAAGACTCCACGTCTAGTTATGTCCACAGATCCGCCCTTTTTGGACAAAATCTCAGGGACTGCGCTAAACATACATTCTACTAAATATGATGAAGGGAATGACAACAATAGTTTTTGAGCACAGGTGGCGAGTCTCTGGTAACTTCAGGCAGGGTGAAGCTACATTTGTTGACGTCTCATATTAATTCACCCCTTTTCTAACTATTCACCCCTGTTTTTTTTTATTCCCAACCAATTCACTCCTAAAAAAATGTTCACCCCCACCAAAGTCTTGTTCACCCCCGGGGGTGAATCACAACCAAGAGCTGTCCTATCAATAAAAATGCAAATTAGGTTCATTAGTATGTTTCATTTTACGCTTCAGGTATGCTGAAACGAAAAAAATATTCCTGTCGCTTATTCATATAAAAAAGTAAACTACAACAGTTATTACGAGGGTTGTCTGAACAGTTCTAAACCTATATGTGGGATATCTAAAAGGATTGAAACAAAGTTTGGCACCAACAAGTTAATTGGTTCATTTAATGAATCATTAGACATATGAACTTCTACCCGTGTGAGAGCTATATATATATTGTATCACTATATGACTCTGAACCAAATTAAAAGCGCCACCAACACTAAGTGGCATTCTGTTTCTTTCTTTTTTTGTATGTCGAATTCATTTATTGCTAAAATATATAAAAAAAACTATACACCAAAATCTAGAAAAAAATATCCTTTAAGGTATCTGAAAGTTTTACCGAAAAAATAAGTATGATCATTATTAATTAACACTTTTTTAACCAAATTCATTTTGATAATGTAGAGCATAATTTAAGAAATATTTTCAGGCATAATTGCCGACGTTTTTGATAATGAAAACGTGTGAAAGATGAACTGGTCTCAAAACTTATCACACTCGGCAGGTACTCACTTGAATTGGTATATTTCACTTTATTTCAATAAAATCTCCTGTATGAATATATTCCATCTTGCATTTCAATACACAGACAAACTATCAGCTACAAAATCACTACATTTAAATTATATTTTTATCGATTCTAGGTGTCAGCTTGAAACGACATAAAATTAATATTATGACTTCGATTTATCGAATACTGCCGCATATTTCAAGGCAACAGCATTTCCAAAACTCACTTTAACTCTCGCAATAAATGAACTGTTTCTGACATCTTTTAGAACAACTTGAAATTATATTCCAACTTTATCATACCAATCATACTCTTCAAACTTTATCATACCAATCATACTCTTCAAACTTTATCATACCAATCATACTCTTCAAACTTTATCATACCAATCATACTCTTCAAACTTTATCTATCTCAAATGTACCCTTTCTTGTTCTGATAAACGTGGGAAACATAGCATACCACATTACGGAGATTTTCAATCATTCTGTTGGTAGTGATGATGGATAGTTCGTGTTTACTTTTTGAATATCTTTGCCCGACGACAGCATTTTGACAATTTTCACCTGGAAGTGTGAAACAACATGTCACTGTGATTTAGTGAGAGTTTGTAATAAAATAAAGCATTTCGAAGAACAAAGGATATAACCCACGTTTGGACTAAGACTGGTAATTCATTTGCCATCTGTTTCCATGTTAAATCAAAAATTCAACTTTATATAACTTTTTCCAGAAACTTCGTTGAAAACTGTCCAATACTGGCCAATACTTCAAACTTTATCGATCTCACAACAAGATATGGTTCATGGTAGATGCAAAGCAAGTATAATCTACTGATGTTTCTTTACATCATAGGAAAGGGAATAACCTTTCGCCTACAGTACCCTCTCCTTAACAAGAAGATAAACAGTTTCTATATTAGCTCCTTCATTTTATAAGAACAAACAAAGCACCAGCATAAGATTCATAAACAACATTGTGTCAATCACTTTTTTTTTTCACTTTTTTTACATTTATCAAGAATTTTGGGACATAACATACATACAGCCACTACATTTGTAAAATAAGGTTGTAAGATAAGTTAACATACGCCCACATTAGAAGTCAAAGAGTGAAATAACGTGTTTCATAGCTGAAAATTCAAGGGAGATAATAGAAAAACATGTAGTTTGCTTACAGGGAAAGTCATTTTTTTAGGGTTTAAACAGTAAGGTTAACAGTTAATGAAAACTACAGACCAAAAATATACAGATATATATGCTCTTTACCTTATCTGAAAGTTTTATCTAATATAATCCTGCCGTTAAATTCTTAATGCCAAAGCTATTTGACTTACGTTGGCTGGTTAAATTCGATATGTTTCATGGTAAGGAAATGTGTCTCCTACGTATTCTGAAAGTTTCAACTAAAACATCGTGTCTCTATGAGGCCCGACACCAAAACTATTCTAAGCCAGTTAGTTAACAAGTAGCACAAACTGTTAATTAACCCTTTTTAAACAAATTCAGTTCGATGAAGTAGTTACAAGGACGTTAATAGCATATTTTAGAAATAGTTTTGATAATGAAAATATTTCATATTGTCCCTTTAGAATGAGGTTTATGAAAATATGTACAAGTATGATACCATATTATTCTTCTATTACATTTGTAATATTTTTTCTTTTAACTGGAAAGGCTAACTTATAACAAGGTGTAATATCAATTTATCTGACTTTACAGAAAAATAAAACATTTCTGCATAATATTACACCTGTGTACAAAGAATACAACTACTATTGATCTTTTCACAATACTACATGTAAAAATTTACTCATAAAGACATTGTCATTTTAATTCATTCAGATGCATAAAACCATATCTTATATAGGCTCAAATCAAATCTAGAACGTATATTGCAGTCGTTCTATTTTAGCGCGACTTTGTGTACAGTCATCACAATTTGTAGATTTATAGCTTAATGGCGGGCCACAGTGTTGTATTATGTGGTATTGTAATCCACATATGATTTAATCTTGTAGGTACTATAGGTAATTCACATCGCTTTAATTAATTTAGTTAATTAGTTAAGAATAGTTTCTCGTTATTCATGTTCCATCCACGTGTCAAATATAGCTATATTTAGCAGTTTAAATTGTTCATATAAATTGTCTACGTACCTTCAATCCATTTATATATATATATATCTAATAACAAACTGTTTCGCTCTAATAAACACGGTAGAGAATGATATGTCAATCTTAAATTAGGCCAAACGGGCTGTGAGTTGATGACACGTTTGACTGTTTGTAGTGCTCTAAGGGCAATAACTCGAGTTAAGTCTAATCTTTTTTTGTAGTAGAGGGATGGGGGATACTAAACAATTTCAAGTTTGTCAGAATCTATCAAGAATTGTGTCTTCTAAATTGTTAACAAACAGTTTTAGGCAGACGGATCGACGTCAGTGGTGTTAATATATGCTCCACATTTCATTCAAAATTTATGTAAAAGAGTTTTTAAGAAGAGAATACGATGCAATTGGGTTTCGTGACTGATATGTTTTGGCACAGAAAAGATTACGACTGTATCTTATAGATAGCTGTAAGTAGTATGCATCTCTTACTCAGTACATTCAATAACTTTGGGATGTTATCTCATATGACTTGCAATCACAACAGTCCGAACCATTTGATCACGGCGTAGGGCTAAGCATGGTATATTCCTCATATATGTGGTACGGGAGTGATCTGGTTTACGAAGCTGTGGTAAGATCAGTAGAAATTGATTGTCCTGAAACCTGTGATTATGGCATGGAATGGTCATATTATTTTTGTTCAAGTGCAAAGAACATACTTTAATTCAGGTGTCTCTAACGTACATGAATTTACGTATTTAGTATTGCCAACCGTGCCATTGACATTATATTTCGATTTGGTTAATTGACAGGAATTGTGTATAGGTTTATTTAATATTAATAAACT